TTTTTTAAACAGTGATGATACTCAGAATCGTTTTATAAAAATGCAATCATTTTAAATCATAAATATGTATTCGAATTCTCAGTTGCCCACCCATAACTTCGATGTCTTACCTTTCATCTTTTGAACAATTCTCAAAATGTTTCAATATTATTTTACATATTTTATAAGTTTCATAGTATCAACAAACACCTGTTTTCGATACATTTTATGTATTTTAGTTAATGAAGAAGTATTCATCTAATAAGATTCGATTCTATATATTTTTAAACTTGCCCTCAAAAATTAATATATAACAATTCGCCTATATAACCAATTTCAAAATAAAGAAATATATATAATATGAAGCTATAACAATAAATATTCTCGATTATAATAAACGTATTCGAATATTAATTCGGTTTCTAAAGAGTTAATATTTCAATAACATTACCATGAAAACTATACAAAAATAGTATATATCTACATAACTGTATTCTACACATAGTTTCTTTTGGCTGGAACATTTAGGTATAAGTGTATAAATATGCCATTTGTAGGGAAGGCATAATCACTATTAAACGTTGATTAAATGTATATATTACTAAACCTCAATGTATTAATCTTTTTTCTATGACTTCAATCCTGTGATTTTTTAATTAGTAATATGTATGACTTGAAAACGTGTACAACATATCCTATTATTATGTATTACAAAATCATTATTGACGAGCGCAATAATATTTATTAAATAAATTTATTATTTTATACATTATTTGTTTAAAATTCGATATTCTATAAAATACCGATTTGATCCAGCTTTTGATAAGCATTATTACCAAGAATAATGGTATTTTTTTTAATGAAATAGTAAAATAATTAAATCTTAAGATTTAAATACGGAAACAAATCGGACAAAGAAGCTTGGCTAGCTGGCCAACGCTTTACAGTAGTTGGAAATATATGCCATCGACATTCAGTGATTTAAGGTAATTTGAGATGATAACAACAATAAGCACATTTTTACACTCTATAAACTTTTGCTAAATTTTACTATGAATTGTTTTTTGAATATTTTTCATAATAATTGTAATACTCATTTTTCAAAAAAATACTTTATTGTGAAGTAAGAGAGAAAAATGTTTATTAATACATGTACATGCAGCACTGGCATCAGGTTTTGTGGAGCACAGGTCACACTTTTCTTTACAGAATACAAGTTTTTAAATTGTTTTTAAGTATTTTTGAACTAGATAATTTTGTGATGAGAACAACCCATACATCATCTGCGAATAAAACTATAACTAATAATTCTGAGAAGTAGGTACAAGCAGCATAAACTTGGTATCTGACGACAACCATCGTTATTCAATATTATTCGTTTTATCATTGATTATAAAATTAGTTTAATTAATCAATGGATTTATATATAACTTATCTATAATTTTTCAATTTTTCGGGATCGGCATCATAATAATTTTCATTGCGCTCAATAATAACTCGAAAATTCTGAACACAAATTAAAAAAAGCGTTTAAATATAAATTATTTCATATCTAAAATTATTTCTAACGGGGCTTTGAAAGCTCGGAGCCTAAAGTACATGCTCCGCTCACCACATCCTTGATTATTTGTGCTTTAAAATTAGATACACGTCGGAATGGTTATTAAAATTTTTATTATTTCAATAATTTTGATATATTATTAATATAATTTAATAGATGGTTAGTAAGATATGTAAGTTGCTCTTGGAATCAAGAATGGTTTTTAAGTGGGTTATCAAATGTTTAAATGTTCGTATATTTAATTTTATTATCTTCTTGTTCCATCATCCAACATATATATTTCAAAATATATTTAAAGTAATTAATTGTGGGGAATCTGGTAATTTAACTATAATGATTAGTTATTAATTATTAAAAATGAAGAAAGTTCATTTTTTTTTTACATTAATAGATTGTTATTAAAATATATAATTTATTTATAATAAACGTTTTGTATTATTTCACATTTTTGGAACTTAAATAATAAGACTATCAAATTATTTTTTGTATGTTTCATTTGGGAGACCCTGAATACAAACAGCTTGGTTCCCGAAAATATTCCCTTTATTTAATGAGCACACATGTACTGGATACGGAAATAGACCCTTGCCCTTCTGATAATAAATTCACAGTCATTATATTAATATAAATTGTCAAGAAAAAGTGAAAAAACAATATGTCATCGTTCAATGAAAACTATTGATCACAATAGGAATTTTTTCTATTTTATAAAAATATTATTTACAAAAAAATTATCTTTAAAATGTTTAAAATGTAGTTTTAAATATTTTCCAATCACAAAAAATGTAATAAAATTCAAAATTTTCTGTATTTTCAAAGCGATAACAGTTGATTGATATTCTTAAAATTGAATATTGATAAATAAAAATGTGCAAGTATAGGAATATGCATTTATTGACAAATGCATTGTTTGTCTACACCAGTGGTCGGCAACTTTTTTGGACTCTTGGGCTATATTCACAAAGTAAAAAGGGTTCGGAGGCCAGACAAAAATTGACATGATGATCAATGAAATTTCCTAGTTTTGGAATTTAATGTGGATCGTATTAAAGTGACGTGTGGGCCGGATACGGCCAGCCGGTTGCCAACCATTGGTCTACACCAGGGGTCGCCATCCTTTTCAAACAAGTGAGCTACATTTAACATTTAAGTTCCTGGTGATCGACATCCAAGAGAATTTAGGAAGAGATTTGTTTGATGAGCAAAAGAAAAAAAGGTCTAAGCTTCAAAGAATAATTATTTATTGTATTTATATAATAATATTCTAATTTTCCCATTATCCGATTAATCTGATTATTTTACGCGATCGACCGATAGTGGTAAAATTTAATTTACAACGATCGACCTATATTCCTAAAAAGATCAACTAGTCGATCGCGATCGACTGGTTGGCGATCCCTGGTCTACACTATTAATTATTATTCTAAGTGTAAACAATGTTAATTTATTAAAACCATAGTACATAATAACAATAATTGTTAAATAAGTAGTAGTCTATAGCTTATAATATAATGTAATATAGATGCGAAGTTATGATTAAAAGATAAATATATAACCAAAAATAAGTGAATAAAAAATACCAAAAAAAAAAAAAATATTAAACTTACGCCTGAATATGAAACAATTCAAAATTTTTCTATTCAAATTAAAGCTTTCATATTAAACATTAAGCAAACTTGCCATTTATTTGTGTTTTCTAAACTTTGAAAGTTGTATAAGTTTATAATTAGAAGAATAATGAAATGAGATATCGCGAATGCTCTATGTATACTATGTATGACTTTTTTTATATTTTTCTCTCTGATCAATACCTAATACTCAATACCGATGAGCGATTATTTGTATTTAGTTGTGAGTCTGTAGCCATATCGATATTTTAATAATTTTAATTTGATTTTCTAACGTCAACGAGAAAAAATTATATATTATATTATTGGTTACTTCTGTAATTATGTGTATTTAATATGTTTGTTACTGGAATTACCTGTAGAATATTATCTTCATAATATGTAGCTACAGTTACAAATTTACAAGCCATCAACGATTATAATATCATTATTATAACAATCAAAATCATTTTTATTTATAATACACACAATATACAAAAAAAAGTATATAAAAAAATATGATGTCTTTATTAGATTTATAATGTTAATATTGAATTTATTTATGATACAGGCCATGTGGAAATATGTTGGTATATATTTTTTAATTTTATATTATTATTTTATACTTACACTTATTCAACAGAAGACAATATGCATTTTGAAAAATACCAACATATTAACGATTTCAAAAATCTAATAAGGATTCTGGGAATTTATAAAAATAATAAATACATCTTTCGTCGAATTTTTGTTTTTATTGGTTGAAAAACTATATAACTTCAACAGAACTGTTGTTTTTAGTAACTTGGTTTTTATGACAAAATATAAATTGCATCATACACCAAAAACCATACAAGAAAATATTTTGAAAAAAAAATTAGTGAGAGCTACTGATAAGAGAATCGATATTTTGTGTCATCAAATTCAATCAATGATTTTCTTTATCTTTAATTCTCCTTTCTGTACGTAGCTTCGTCTACAGTTGAAAATAATGGTTTTATACGAGCAATTTAAAACACCGTGATTATTGATCATCTATTGGTCATCGACGTGTGAGTTACGACTAATACAATTGATCCTCGTCGAATTGATCTCCAACGAAAATTACGTCAACCCAACTGTAGTGATTTCTATGCGCCAACAAGATACTCGAATGATGTACCCAATCGAACGGACTATTATTGTAAATAATATATAGGGAGTGTTTTTAGGAACCCCTGATGGGGTTTACGATGGATGTTCACGGGAACAGTTTTACGTTGTCTAATCGCAGCGCATCAGTCAAACACGAAATTAATTTTTTTGATTTCGTTCACCATCGTGGTCGTTTCCTAAACGTTACTCAAAAGAATTGTTTAATTATGCCAATAAGGTTTTCCCTAAACCGTACAAATGTACAACTATCGTGCCCCCGTCTCTTTTGCGCAGCAGCGGGGTACCGCCGACGCCAGAAATTGGGACGGTGGCGAAAGAAACCGCTGCCCAATGGCAAAACAAAAATAATTGTACGCGCGTATTATACATGTGTGTTGTTATTATTATATACACGCGGCGGCACCGTCGTCGTACCGAGAGAAACATAAAACCCGAAACGAGCGACGTATTATAACCGACCAACCGGCGGCGGTAGCCAGCGACAGCCGACGAGCGTGGTGGCGTCGTCTTTCCCCTATATTGCGTACAAAGGACCCCGCGCGCGCCGTTTTCCCATCGACCCACGAACCGTCACTCCCACCAAACGTGACGACGACCGTACACAACTACGGCACGGAGGTCATTTGATACGGTGTGTATGTGTGTGTGTGTATGCTTGGTCCCCGCTCCGTACGGTCCGTCTCCACCACCACTACCGGATTTCGGGGCCCGACGCAGCGCGTTCGTTTCTGTTCCGTTGCCGCCGCAGCCGCCGTCGTTTGCCCACCATCATCAGTGTTCCCGTCGTATCGAACCGCTTATACCGCGGCGCAGCGCACAAGACACAAGTTCATTTACCGTATAATATTATTGTATACGCTCAACGTTCTTTCGACTCTCCGGTATTTATTATTATATACGTATAAGATAGAGGTGTGTGCGTTTATATAAACACGCGCACACGTATTTATAAAATATATTATACATCAAAATAAATTTTTTTTATTTTTTCTCTCCCCCCCCCTCGTGTGTCTACTATTATATTTCTCCATGCACCAGTCTCGTTTGGTTCACGAATGTACGTCAACTTACAGATGATCACGCAGTAACTGCAAACTGTTTCGTTTCGTTACTCTAGCCCAGTTGTGACGACGACTATTATGTGAACTTGGCGTGTGTCTACTACAAAGAATAGTCAGCAACGCCACCGCAGAACAACGCAAACGACAACACGCACATCACACGCTTCATCGTTTTGGTATATAATAATATACTCTGTCGACGTAACCCGTGTTCTAATCGATCCGCACCGCTTTCAAGTTTCAAACACGACAAATGGACACGGCTACGTTTTTTGTCGAGGGCACTTCCAATCAGTTCGAGCATGTACTCTCGCTGTACCCACAGGCCTTGCGAATAAAAGCCGAGAGCAAGACGAAAAAGCCCGACGAGCTGATCAAGTTGGACAACTGGTGAGTTTTTTTTTGTCGAACACAACGGAAGCGGTACAAATTAGAAATAAAAAAATACGTTGTCGCGTTTACTGAGATTTCGTAATGCGCACATTCGGCACGCTCTGTATGCACGCTCGGTCGTGGCGTACGCGGTTAGGTTGGTAAGACGCGGTCGGTCGCCCCGCCGCCGCCACTACTGCTGCATATCCAATCGAGGCCGTGATGACGTTAACGATTTCTTTGTGGAGAAAACGCTAACCGTCCGTTCTATTGCGCGTATACGTGTGTGTGTTCGTATATATTTTTATACAACGTGTGGTCGTTGTATTACAGAAATATTTTCACCGGCGGCCACGCCATCATTCCGTATCCTTCGATATTTTCCTCCTTTTGGTCAACAGTTTTATGTTAACCAGGGATACCGCTCACGACTTCGCGCGTAGAATATTTCCGAAATTATGATAATGTAATTATCGAAAATCGTGTACAGAGTGCTCGTCGCGACACGGTTTTGACACTATTTCCATTTGATTTATCAACAGTATTGTGATATAATAGTGATATGTAATCTGATTACTATTATTATTTTCATTCCTATACAACCGGAAGATATTATTTTTCGGAAAAAACAAATATCCCCGATTTACTTTTTCAACAATGTAATGTCACATGGCACATAACAACATTATATTATAGTTTTGTTATCTATGGTAATATTTTAATATAAACGTAGACAGCAACTTATTTTAATGTAAGCATAAGTTCGATCTAACGGCTATCAACATTTTGTTCTATTGATTTTAAAATTTTAGAATCCATATTCTAGGTATTCTTGTGACAATTATTAATATCGTTTTTAAAAAGCAATCATTGGATTATTCGAATTAATATAATACAGGGTTTCGAAATAAAAATTTCAAATAATAAATAATAAGAATTAAAAATTATTAAATGGTTTATACTCATAAATTGATATATAAATAAATTAAAGTTTAGTCAGGAGTTTAATTACATTTGTAAAGTATGATCGTTTTAGAATAAAAAATTCATCATCAGTAGTAATACTCCAGACTAAACTTTAATTTATTTATTTATTTTCATATTAAAATTTAATGTAATTTCATTTGATTTAAATTTTGTTCTTTTGGTACACTTTTTATTAAATTTAAATTGTTTCCACAATGTCAAGACAAGATCATTTTCTTTAAGTAACGTACAGCTATAGTATGAATGAAATATCAAGAGACAGTTTACTGACAGTACTTTAGAAGATAGTGTTACATTTATTAATACATTTCTGTAAATTAATTGTATTATATTATCAATGAACAGTGATTGATGATAGATAATAAATGAATTGAAATGTGCATAAATCAATTAATCAAATTCATTCATTGCTGTAGAGATAAAAAAATTTAAGTTTATTAATTAACAATACAACAGATAATAAATTAATATTAAGGTGTTATAATTGCATTAATGAGTTTAATAATTATTATGACATTTTAATTGTTTCGGCCTTAAAAAAATAAAAATGTATAATGATTAGGTAGGTATTTTAGTTAATAATTTAATTAAAATTTTTAACCTATTGGTATTGAGTGATAATTTTATGTTGTTAACCATTGTAATTGATAAAATTGAGTGGTATTAAAAGTTTAGTATTATTTATTTATGGTGAAAATAAATAATAGATATATCATCGTAAAGCTGCTTTTACAAGATATTTGCTATTTTCAGATTTAAAATATGAGGTTTCTGAGAATACTTGCCTTAAATCTACAATTATTTTCTAGCGTCGAGACTGTTTACTAGTAGAAACTTACAATAGGGTACAAACTAATTTTTGATAATATATATAATTTTATTAAATGGCTTATTTCATATACACACACAAATATCAATGTTTTTTATTCTTTGCTTAAATAGTTTAAGGTTTAATTGGGGTTCATAAATAATCAACCAATTTCATATACTATTTGGCGATATCTCCAATACTTATAATAAACTTTCTAATTAAATTAATTAAAAGTGAGAATAATAAGAAAAAACAATGAATTAGAAACGCTCTTCCATAAACCCAGTATACTCGAAACAATAAAGAACAAACATTGCTATGGGCTGAGCATGCTTGGTGTAGCCAAAACCTCATATGCATAGTATTAGAAGAAAACCCTACTGGGAAGATCATGTCTGAGATGGGAGGATGTAGTGATGAATGATATGATAGCGTTAAGAGAAGGTGTAGACTGAAGGATACAGACATTAAATAGAGAAAATTGGAGGCATTGATGTATGCCAGTATGGTCTTAATAGCCGAGTTCACCAAAGAAGAAGAAATTAAACTAATGTATTTAAAATAAAATAGTCATATCTGCTCATTTTTTCTGTAGGAAAATTATTATCTTTCCATGGTACTTATAGGCTGTTTTTTACAAATTGGCATTCATTTATTGTGTAACAAATCATTTGAAGAACTACAAATAATTTACTGTATGTTCGACTTATTCAATTTTGAATTATAATATTGCAATTCATTTTCCATTTTAGATGAATATTTGTTAATTCTCTATTAAAATATGTATACATTAAATATGGATAGAATACAAAGTTAGTTATTCAGTAAATTTGTTTGAATTCATCTATATTTATTTAGCTACTAATAGTATTCTGGAAGAATATTATTTTTTTATGTAGTATGACTATGTAGATTTAGTTCAAAGTTTAAAAACTAAAATTGTATTTGTTTAATAGGTATCAGAATGAACTGCCTGGAAAAATTAAGTCTAGAGGAAAAGATGCACACTTAAACCATGAAGAACTTTGCCAATTAATGAAATGGAAACAGACCGTAAGTTTTGTTTTTGTATTTAATTGTATTGATAGAATATTTATTTTAAATAAATTTGTTATAGAGAGGAAAAACTTTTCCTCAATTGAATTACTTAATAAAAGTGAATACACCCCGTGCTGTTATGGCTGAGACAAAGAAAGCTTTCAAAAAATTACCCAATTTAGGATTGGCTATTACAGCACTTAGTAATTTGAAAGGTGTTGGAACCACAATGGCGTCAGGTAAAAATTGTTAAAAAATAAATATATTTGTATGCACTATCAGATATTAATGTTTTATAAAAATTTTTCAGCTTTGTTGGCAGCTGCTGCACCAGACAAAGCTCCTTTTATGGCTGATGAATGTTTAAAAGCAATTCCAGCTATTGAAGGAATTGATTATACTGCTAAAGAATATTTGAATTTTGTAGCTCATATTCAAAATGCAGTTGAAAGGCTTAATGGTGAATGTATGTTGTTCTCATAGTTTTATTATTTTAATATTTGAAAAACAATTTTATTGGATGTAATTTGTTTCTAATCACAGGTAGTGAAAGTATATGGAATCCACATTCAGTAGAATTAGCATTGTGGACACATTATGTGGCTAATGAATTCAAACCTGAACTTTTAAGTAGTGTTCCAGAAGCTATTAAGAAACCAATTAGTGAACAAACCAAGACAGATGCTCATATTAATGGCAATGTTAATCAAACAAAGGTTCTTATTATTTCCTGTTTAAGGCTATTTTTATTGTATTGTTCTGTTAACCTTATATATTTATATATTTACTTATTTTATATTTATAGTTAGATGAACCAACATCTGATGAAAGCAACCCTGAGCCTTTACCATCTTCTAATGGTCACCAATTAACTATTGAAGACGATTCTCGTGACAAATCTGAAGATGATATCACCAACGACTCTATAACAACATCAGAATCAGCTCAAACACCACTTGCTGAAGCTTTAACAGAAGATTCATCCAGTTTGCCGGCACCTGATGAACCCCCAGTAAAAAAATTTAAAAATGATGGCCAAACAGTGGCTGCAGAAGCCAATGGCAATTAAACTGGTTTTAATTAAGCCAAGTTGAACACCATAGGCTTATAATTTTAGTGACGAGTTATTATTGAAGTAAAAATGTTTGAAACAAAATACATTAATGAAGAAATAACTCCATATTTATCGGACTTTATAATGTAATTATAACTTACAGTTTTACATTTTAATTACATATAAAATATTTCATAATTTTTCAATGGACATCAATTTTAATTTATTATGACTCATACATTGAAAACTCGTAAATATATTTTTTTTATACTTAGATTTTATACAACAAAATAAATTAAGTCTGTAATATTCTAATTTTGTTTTATTCAACTTAGTAATTTTATGATTTAAATATTTGACTGTAAATACAATTAATTTTAATTATTTATTTTTAAGGTTTATGGGAATAGAGGGATGTCTGAATAGTATGAAGTAATAATAAAAGTGCACTTTAGGAAATAATTTTTTTCAAAGAATTATTTTAATTTATTGAAAATTATGATACTTATAACAGGGGGGTGGACAAGAGAAACTTGCATTCAAAAACATTAAAACATTTTATATATTTATTAATTTATGTATAATGTATATATGTAGTATTATTATATCGGATCTGCACCATTTTTATTAAAATAAGTTAACAGCCATGTTAATTTATGTACTTAAATGCTAAAACTGCCTTAGCAATTTTTATGTTTTAGTTACTTCTTTTTATTTGATCTAAAAATGGTACAAAAAGTTATTTACATTCCGTTGAATTAAAGCTATATATATTTTTTTTTTAGAATTTTCGGGGGGGGGGGATTAACTAATAACATAAATTTTATTCTGTATGAATTTTTTTTTTGGTATCAATATGTAACTTTTCTACTTTAAATGTAAAATCTTATGATTTGTGGTATTTTTGTTTTAAAAAAGCGGTACATTTTTAATATATTAAATATTATTTTTAACGCAGCATGACTATTTTGTGTGTGTGTGTGTGTGTATGTGTGTGTATATATATATATTATATATACATATATTCCAGTAAGTTTGTCATAACATAAATAAACTATATAATAATTAATATTCTGCCTTTTTATGAATGGTTTTGTGATTACCTGTTCAAAGTTAATCGAGACATGGTATATTTATGGTATAGCACCAATCTATTCACAAACTGGAGTTAAGCATATTTTACATCCACTGACTTAAAATAAAAATATGTTTATGAGGAAGCTATTTGTCTAACATTAAATCAACATTTTAAAAAGTGATTGGGAATTTATCTCACTTGTTATTTGTTTTGAGCATTACTATTTTTATTATAATTAAATGTACTTTATCTTGAACTATTCTTGTTTTTATAAGACATATTTTCAAATTTCATAGTATATTTCCATTGAACATACTAAAATATTTGATTTAAAATTGTATTAGTTGAATGAAGGTTAATATAAAATAAATTGTATTTGATGTGCATTTGTTTAAATTGATTATATATGAAAATTATATGTATCTAAAAACAAACTATATTACATATATTTTATAATAGTTTCTACTAAAATTTGGTTTATCATAGGAGTTTTGTTAATAATCAATTACACACTATTATAGGCATTTAAAAAAGATCAATTGTCGTAATATATGACTGCATCAACACTCAACAGGTAAATTTTTATTAAAGTTTTATACAATAATTGTAAAGTAATTGATTTGTGTATCAGTTATATGTATGATCCAGTTTTATAGTTTTTTCTTTTAATTCTTTAGATTTTGTTAGTATTTATTAAGTCTTACTGTTAAAGATTATAGCCAACTTTAGATAAGTAATAATTGAACAGAAATTTTACTGTTGATTATAGTTTATGAAGAAAAAAATTAAAATATTTTTTTAATAAAACTTAATTTATAAACACTTGAAAATCAATAATTTAAGAATTGTATGTATAATTGGTCAAACCAGCGAATATGTTAATCCTATGATTTCTTTTACAAAATAATTGATTAAATACTATATTTTATAACAATGGCAATTTGGTTAGTGGTATGAAAAAAGATGTAAACCATAGAGCAGTGGTCGACATTTCATACAACCCACTTTAAAATCCAAAATTCTAAGAGATATGAAAATTTTTCTATATTAAAAACTCAAATACAGTTTTAATCAAGTATTTTATCACTTGTCAATTATCTTTAAGATAAAGTACATGCTATTCCTGTTGCACGAATAGAAGTAATAAATTTACATACATTACAGATTCTTTAGAAATATAATCTGATCTAACCGACTTCTTTCACTCGCAATCAATTTACGAGAGCAATGGTACATTACTTTAAGCTAAAAAAGGTTTATACAACAATATGATTCTTTCTATATCTTATCCAACCATGGAGTTTTATCTGACCTAATCACCTTGGAATTTCGCTCATTTATATATATATACATTGACGCAACTAGAGGGGGCTTAGCCCCCCAAATGTATTATAGCCCCCTCAAATTTTTTGATTATTTAAAATTTAATGATAATTTAAGCATGGGATAGTGAGATACATACTAAATAATATGAATATATGACGCAAAAAATTATTCAAAAGTAAATTGTATAAATATAAAATATTATTATTATAGTTTATTTTGTAATTCCTACAATCCTACATAATTAATAATAATATTGTTATCTAATAAATGTGACGGACGACGGTGGAATATTGCTGTGGTGTTATGTCATATTTTATGTAAAACATATTACATAGAAGTAGGTACATGATTTTTAATAATATAGTATGATAATAATATTTTATGATTGTTTTTATTTCAATTAATAATTATTGATCTGTGTCTGAGGCAATGGGGGGCGAAGCCCCTCATAGCTCACATTGACTATATTTATTTATAGGGCGAAGCCCCCCCCCAATATTTTAGACCTAGTTGCGCCAATGTATATATATATATACTTCACATATAATTTATTTAAAAATAAATAACGACAGCAAATATCCATATTTTGAGCATACAATTTAAAAACAAAAAATATATTATCTCAAGTAAGACAGAACATTAGTCATAATAAAAAAATAATATAAAATTCAATAATGAAAAAATATAGGGTTAGAATAATATTTTAAGTCCAAAATAAAATTTCTACTTAAGAAGAAAAAGAAAAAATGAATAAATAAGTGAAAAACTTGGTAAGAGAAAGTAAGAGTAATAATAAAAAAAAGTAGAAAAAGAGAAAGAGGAAGACCAAAAAAGAGATAGTTGGATACGATTGAGAGTATTATGAGAGCTATTGGTATCTGTGTAGAGAGTGTAGAAAAATCGAGAGAGTTGAGGTTCAGGAAAAAGATGGCCGACCCCAAATAGTTGGGAGAAGAACAAAGGACAAAAAATCCATGAAGGGAGAATAAAACCCCCACAAAAAATGATAAATCCTTATAAAATAATGATTATGATAACAAAATAATAAGTTTAATACCGTAATAACACAAAATTTCAACATTGATAAAATGCAGAATAGTTGAAACAATAAAAATATTTAAAAAAAAACTCCACTTAAAGAGAAAAAATAAAAATTAATAATTTTATAAAAAAAAGGTAGAAAAAGTGTAAAATAACCCACATAGGCGAAAAAATCCGAAAAAAATGGTATATAATTAAGTGTAAAAAAAAAAGACATACTAGGAGAAAAAATACAAAAATAACAATAATAATTGAACATATACAAAACTTCACACAATAAAAAAAAAATGGTAAAAAATACAATTATTAGTAAAACAATAGAAACCTCAGGATCTCAATATACCAAAAAATATATTACAGATACAGAATCTGGAGTTCATAACCACTTAAATGTCAATTTCGATGGTATCAGTTTCAGGTTCAACTTCACGTCAGACATAATTACCGGACCGAGTGGTCGATCGGTCAAACACGACTTAAAATAAAATCAACATTGGGGGAATTCTTCCATCCATAAACCGTGATTTATTCGAATTCCTTTGGATATTATGGTTTTATAATGATATTTGTATTTTATTTGCTTAACACTGTTTCGGATAGAAATACTGGTCCAAAAGTTTTTTCTAGGACTTTTTTTAAATTTTAAATTGGCACGCGGTGGTACTTTAGATAGGTAATTTTTTTAAATAATAATAGTTTTTCTAGACGTGAGGAAAAAACTGTCCTGAAATGGTAAAAATACGCTGTAAATAAGACTTTCACATTTCAAATTTTTGTTACTTAGGCATAATTCCAAAAGTAATATTCTTAGAAACTTGAAACTTTTACCCTATAGTAAAGATATATTTTTTTCGTAATGCAAAATATTTTTGTATTGTATAAAAATTTATATATTTATACAAAAAAATTCAAAAACTATTATGTTTTTCTACACATAATGAGTAATGAATATTTAAATGTAAATTAACATAAATACATTGGGGGGTGATAAGTACACCCAAGCTTCCCCCCCCCCCAATTGCGCCTATGGATATCAGACATGTTTGGTTGGAATTGCTGTACGGTATTTAGCGGTGAACACTTCTAGATTGGGGAATTTAATGATACAGGCTGGTGACATGACTTCTACAGCAACTTCTTCGACTACGATAACGACAGTAAAAAGTTTGAATCTTCTGCGCGCTAGGTCATCAGTTCCGGTATAAGCTTCCGCGATCATTTGAAAACCAAAATCCGTAAACCTCTTCTTCGGGTTTACGATTTTCGTACAGATATCTGCCCAAGCTCCTCTTCGAGTTCTCCGTCCCGGTTGACGTGTCTTGATATTCACCTTCGTTTGCAAATATCGGTTTTTGCTGGCAGTGCAGTTATGAACGCTTATGGCCATTTAAAAAATGTACTTAGCCATAAATAATTTTGTTCATTATCATGACTTCAATTTCTTTTCTAAAGATCAACAATAGGTATAAAAATATAAATAAAAAAAAAAACAATCTAAAAACTTTAATTTAAAAAATATTGAATATAAATCTGAAAATAATATATTATGTATAAAAAATTAAAGTATGTTGTGTGCAAAAAAAAAATATGAATATTTAATTACCCAGCAGGATGGTGTTCACCAAGATCTATAAAGAATTCTTCTTAGTGATTCTTCTGGTGATCACTGATGAATATAATAGAAAAAAAACCCTTAAATTGATGACAACGGCAATACAACATGCATAAATATTGGAGTTTACAAATAAATGTGGAGCAATAAAATATAATTAAAATATATAAAAATATATTATACTATTTGTTATTGTTTTGAATTAAAAAAATATATTTAGAATTATTGTTACCTAATTTCAAAAAAATATCGATATCAAGTAATTAAAATCAATAATAATATCCATTATTAATATTTATTTGTACAGACATATCTAAACAGTGGCGTGGCAAGGATATTTCAAAACCTAAGCAATGTATTTAAACAATGACCCACTCCTCTCCCTTATCTTATTACATAATAGAAATATATATAAATAAAACTATTCAATTGTATTAACTATAGGATTTTCTTTAATTCTCTTCAAATATCTAACTTATCAACCATATGTGCGTACTACATTTTTTTTCAATGCATGCAATTAGCCAATTAGTTTAATTATTTAAATAAAATATGTTCATAAATACGTGAGCTAAGGGATACCTTTCCCCTTAATAGGTTTCTAGGGATACGTTAATTCATTAGGCAAACGTCATTCACCACGTCACTGTCTATATAGTGTGTATATGCTAGTATAACTGATCATTTTTAAACAATGATATATACAATCATGGGTGTAGCGAGGGTGGGGCAGGGGGTCACTTGCCCTTCCTTGCGCCTCAAACTGAATTTTATTTGTTCATACCAAACATATAAGTTTTACATTAAAATCAAAAATTAAATAAGATATGTCTGAAAATAGTTTAGTTTAGTTTAGTTTAACCGAGTGTTATTTACACGTATAATCGTTTTGACGTTTTATGTATTATCCAAAAACTTATAGATTATTTGAATTATGAGTTTAACACTAATCGCTTTATGTTTTTGACCCCCCCCCCCCTGTTAAAATCTTAGCAACGTCCATGTTATTTAATTTATGTATCATTGTATTACAGTATTATTATAGGTATTTAATGTCAGTGGTCAAATTGGGAAAATTCAGTAGAGGAGCTCAGTCAAACGATTTAAAAACTGCGTTTGACGTCCGCAATTATTTAACACAGGCCCGTGGGAGGCGAAGTCCTCTTTACCACTGTTCAGGTACACAAATATTTAAATTCTAAATATTAATATCAATAATTTTAATTTATTATCAAACTATCAAACTAATATAATAGGTAGAAAAACTATAAATGCACACTCAGATTTGCCGATGACAACGTTTTATGCAAAAAACGGAGGAAGACCTACAAAACATTCTAAATAATGTGAATAACATTCTATGGGATAGCTATGGAATGAGATTAAATAAAAAAAAAAGACGAATGTAGTTCAGTAGAACAAATCCTACCCAGCTAGACATAAAAATAGATAACATACATATAGAAGAAGTACAACAATTCAAATACTTAGGAAGTAAAATAACAGAAGATAGCCGTAGCAAAGCTGACATTCTCTGCGTAATAGCACAAACGAAGAAAGATTTTTAAAATAAAAAAACACTTATTGACCACTAATAATGTGTCCTTACAAACAAAAAAAAAAAACTCTTAAAAATATACGTGTGGAGTGTTGCCCTATATGAGTGTGAAACTTGGACAATTAGTAAAGTAGAGAGAACAAACTTGAGGCCTTCGAAATGTGATGTTATCGAAAAATGCTTAGGATTAAATGGACTGAAAGGGTTACAAATGAAGCAGTTCTAACTAGAGTTAAGGGATAACGACAATTGTGGCATAGTAGGTATTAAGGTTCGAAGAGACAAAATGATAGGGCACATACTGCGCCATGATAGTTTAACGAGGAATATTATAGAAGGTGACGTAGAAGGTTATATTGGAAGAGGAAGACTAAGGATGGAATATATGAAACAAATCATGATTGACATGGGAAAGGCTACAAGTAACTAAAGGAATTAAGTTACAATAGGGAAGCATGGAGAACTGCAGTAAACCAGTCAAACGACTGAAGACACAAAAAAGAAAATTAATATAGTATATACTAAATTATAACCTTTTCAGGTTATAATGAAGCCGTCGTTTATCATAACCACCATATAATTTTTTATTATGAAAATATATTTTCTCATGTACCTATATAGGTACTAAGCGTAAATATAATGTATAATATATTTACCACACATTCAAATTGATTTTCATCCAATTATATATTTTGTATGTTGCACAGTGCGGGGTGGTAGGTCGACGCGTATTGTGTGTCTGCACAGCACTGTATACCATTTATAATCGTTCTGTTATTCAATAGTCAATCGAACGTAATTTTGTGTTACATCGGCTGGACACTGATAAGTGATAATACTATTTTTTAATTTACTTAGTGGTTTTAAAATTATTGATATAGGTAATTTTTTTATTACTTTTATTTTATTACTTTTATTACTTTTATATTATTTATTATTAATAATTTTACTTAACTTTATTGTTAAAATAATTTGGCAAACAACATTAGAATTTAAGTTGACCTTTGCCAGTTAATAACTTGTTTATTTGATTATTATATTATAATGAGGCTTGAATTGTAATGTGAATTTATAATTTTGAATATTGATTTTTGTACATTCTACGACTCTACGACTTGGCAATTTTGTTTCAACTTATTAATAATTTTATAGATACTTAAGGATTATTTATTTATTTGTTTTCTCAACTTTTTTTAAAAAATATAATTTAAATATATAAAAGTTTATAAACATATATATTAATTAATTAATTTTGATAATATGCTAGAAGACCTAGATAAAGATGGATCGATGTGGTGGAAGAAGACCTAAAAACACTTGGCGTTGAAAATTGGAGAGGAATAATACAAGATAGTGATAGGCGGTGAAGTGTAGTAATGGCGACAAAAACTTAGAGAGTAGATAGGACAAAAGAAGAAGAAGATAACATGCTAATGAATTATAACAAGAGAAATGACCGAACAGAAGGCATTCAGTTGTGATTTTTTTTTACTTGATTAGAGTACCTGGTACAGACTTTCCTGAACCATCCATTTTTTAGATGTCTGATAGTATTATTGAGGATTTTGCAAGAATAATTTTCATTTGAATTTTTTTGGTAAAGTGAATCATAGGAAGGGGAGGCTCTAGGGGAGGGCTAGGAGCCGCAGACCCTTCCCAAGTCTGTACCGTATTTATAAAAAAAATGTATATTAACAAAAAATGCATACGACACGCACAAGTATATAGATAGAGCCATACTGGTATGACGGTTGAAAGGAGTTTCTCCACACTTCGGAGACTAAAAACCTGGCTTCAATGATGACTGAAGATAAACTATCAGCATTATGTCTAATTAATGTATATCATAAAGTAGATATGCTAGATCAAATAGATCATATTATTGATATTTTTGCCAATTTTAAAAATAGACGACTTGAATTTGTGTTGTAAAAATTGTTGTTTTCTTTTTGTTATAAGATTTTGTAAATTTATAATTTGCCTTCCCCCCTAATCAAGGCTCTGAAGCCGCCCCTGATTGTAGAGCCCTTTTTTGTATTATAAAGCTTAAAGTTTAAATTACTATCAACATTTTAATTCATTTAATTACATTCAATTTCATTATTTATTTATTTATTTTCTTTTTTTTGTTATTGTATATTTTTTGTGTTCTCATTTTAATCAAATTTCCTGCGGGAACAATTTAATATTAAATTCATAAATAAAAAAGTTCTAATGACAAAATTAAAATTTAGTTCTTTCTAACGACTTTTAAGTTTTCAATGGCTACACTGATGTAATATAGATAAAACGTTTTTGCAAATTATCAATATTGAAAATACATGATAAGAGCGGTAATGATAATTTGACTTGAGTCGTTTATTGTACACGTCAAACATTTAAATTTCAGTTGTTTTGGTTTTTTATTTAAACAATTATCTGAAAATCAATATGTTACTGTCGATTTTTCTTAAATTAGTAAATTGTTGCATCTAAATTTTAAATTAGTTATTTATTAACATTTTCTGTTTGTTTTTCAACTTGATAATTATGTACTTTGAAAAATTAATTTTTATATTCCTAACGATTTATTGTTGTTTACTGACCGAATTAATTAGAAGTCAAACATTGGAAGTGATTGATGACACTGAATTGTTATCCTTATGTCGTATTGAAAGTCAAGTAGTTGTTTTGTTTAGTATGTATTCTGGGTATTTTTTTATTCATACTGAGCAATAAAATGTAATAATGGATTTAATATTTTTTTCATAGCTCAAAAAGATTGTGAGAAATGTAAAAAGTATGAAGAAACTCTGATTCAAGTCAGAGAAGAATTAGTTGATTCACTAAATGCTTGGGTTGTAAAAGTGGAAGGTAGTAATTTGGTTCATATATATAATCCTACTAAAGAACCTACATTGGTCATGTTTCGACATGGTGTACCATTATTAGTACCAGAAACAGGTAAACTATGAGTATTTGCATTTTATGTCAAAATTGTGCATATTTTAAATTTTTTTGTGTAAAAAGTTTATATTTATTAAATAAATATGCTTATATATTTTGTTTATTATGGATTTTTTTTTTATTTTAAATATTTTTGGTAAAGATGATCACATCTAATATGTTTTAGAGCAGTGGTTCTTAGCCTTTTTTGAGTTTGTGACTCCATATAATGTCACTAAGATGTCTAACTATCCTTTTGTAATATAAGCATTGAAAAATTTTACAAACTGTTATTATTGTATTTATTTGTGAATACATTTTACAAAAAATTATTATAAAAGCCAATTGACGTTAATTAATAGAAATAAAAAAATAAAAATTGTGTACATTTGAATATTTTTTTAATTTAATGACTCTTTTGGTGTTGGTGATTTATAAATAATTTTTTTTCACATGATGCGACCCTAAAAAATTGTTGTTGACCCCTTCCCCCCCTATTGAGAATCACTGTTCTAAAGCATTTATAAGGTATAATAAAATTATAGTCATCAGGGCTTTCATTAAGCTGTCAAATGATTTACAGTTGTTACAACATATTTTTACGTTTATATGTTTTATAGTTTATTCTATTTTGGATTTCACAGAAAAAAACATAGAATAATACGATGTAATTTTATTTTTCTTATTCTAGAGGCCCTTAATGAAGAATTACTAATAGACATGCTTTTAAACAATAAAGATCCAATTGTAAAAGAACTAAATGATAATAATTTTGAACATCTTACCCAGGCATCAACAGGAGCCACCACGGGTGATTGGTTTATCAAATTGTAAGGTTATTTATATGTTAAGCTTATTATAGTTTATTTATTCAAGGTAATATAATTTAATGACTTTATTTGTTGTAGTTATTCATCAGACAGCATAGAAAGTCAAAGATTACAAGCGCGTTGGGAGACCGTTGGAGCTAAACTCAAAAATCGTGTCAATGTTGCTCGTATAAACCGGCATATTGGAGGATCAATAACTGCTCGTCGGTTTTCAATAAACCAATCGCCTACATTTATTTTGTATGTTAAAATAATTTGTTTTTCTAAAAAATCTTTTAAGTAATTAAAATACTGAGCATTTGACCTTTTATATCAATTCATTTTATAGATTACGTCGTGGTATATTATACAAATATACATCATCTGAATTTACTATTGAGTCATTTTTAAAATTTGTTGATGAAGATCATAAGTACACAATAAAATTACAAGTACCACAACCAAAGTCAGCATTGTAAGTGAATTTTTAAAACATAAATTGGTTTTTAATTTTGTATTATGATTATAATACATATATTTATTTTCAGTGATGATTTTACACACATGTGCTTTGATATACTCAGGGAAAACCCATTGGTATGGAAATTAGGTTTGACCGTATTTAGTGTAATACTGTTATGTCTTGCTGCCTTGAATAAAACATCAAGGTCGACTGAATCCAAGCCCAAAAAAAAGTCTACTAAAAGTTCCAGTAAAAAAAGCAAGTAATTGTTGAATTATTGATAAGCAAGCTTAAATCACTTTAAAATAAAATTGTATTGTTTGAATTTATGATATGCATTTTATATTTAACTTAAATATAATTAATTATTTTTTTTTTACAAAATAAATGTATTAATATATTTTTAAATATTTGTGTTATGATTTTCATGTTTTTATTTTTTTTTATTTTAAAATATTAAAATATTGAAATTGTATAATAAACTTTACCTTTTTTATTTTCAATAAAATATTTAAATTTTTTTATACTATTAGTTGAATAGATAAAATTATATTATTATTTAATATTAAAATATTAGAATAGTACTTGTTTGAAAATGTATATAAGAATTAGTTTTTTTTTCCTTTTGTTTATAAGTTTAGATACATTTTTTATTAGCTATATATCTGATAAGTTTATTTTATCTGTGTGGAGATAATTCTTGATTTTGTGCTACATTTGCCACATCCTTTTATTTTAACCAATTGTATTTACCCTTTAATAAAAAAAACAAGAATATTTATTGCATTTTGTTAATACCCCAAACATTTTTTTTAAAAAATTAAGATCATCAACAAACCATACTTTTGAAATTTGGCTTATTACCTAATTTTGAATGAAATACACTAATAGAGAAAATGTATAAATTTATAAAAATTGTTTATTAATTCTTGAATGCAAAAGGATATAAATATTTAGTTTTAGTGATTTTGAGGCTGAATTTTTATCACTAATTTGTTTATATCCATTTTTATATTTGATATTCACATAGGCACCATGAGAGGGTTGTATGGGGCGCGCTTGTCAAAATAACTAAAGTAACTTTATTATCTTATATTTATATTGCCATATACTTTGAAAAAATATTTCCACATATTTAACTTAAAAATTTAGTTTAATTTAATTAAATATATATGTATATGTACTCTGTTCTACTTACCTTTTAAGGGTTTTTATTGAAAAAAAGATAATATTGATATCTGTCTTAGTAGAGTTCAGTAATTTTCAATGAAGATAATTATATATTCCCGCAGAACAATCATTAAATTAACTGAAATACTCCAAAACATTGGACATATATTGATATTTCTGTATAAGGTATACATTTTAATTTATCAATAAATATTAATTATTATGTAAGAGTGATCAACTATCTTTGGTAAATTAATAATGGCCATAATACAGGAGCACTTGGTAATGTTTTGGGGCACTTCACCGTCTATACCTATTGTATTTTTATGCTCTGATTGACTATATCATGAGGTGCAAGTTGATATAATATTTATTATTAATATTATTCTAGTTAATTGCAACCGCTGATAGCATTAATTATAAAACTAAAAGTAAATGTATTATTCTGCGTTCTGCCAATTATATAATAATTAATTTTAATTATCTAATTACTAGTTATTCTCAACTATACTATATCCTTATATTGTGTTCAGTGGCATAGCCAGGGCGGTTAAGGGGTTCCCCTTCTCCCTTGGCCTAAAAAAAAATAGAAGACGTTATCGTCCTATCAATCCCCAGATTGACTGCTCTGACAGGGGCTTATCTAAATAAATTCTTCGGATCTGGATTCCCCATTAGGGTTTCAGCTTGATCATTGCTGGTTTAGGTATACTTACGTCAGATAGGCAAGGAGGTAGGTACGTTAACAAATCTATTCAATTTTGATATGATTTTTAACCTTCGGCATAGGTAACAAATTCTTGGGTGCAGCAATCAACTATTGATGTCTTGGTAGAATTCAACGTTAGGAGAGGGCACACAAAGATAATTAGCGTTCAGCTTCCCACCATCACGCGTATAGGCCTTCCTATGAACAATTTTTTGTTTTTTAGTTAAATAGATAATGGGTAACTGGTGTGTACATTTCTATGGGTCCATATCAATCGCTCCAAAAATATAATACATAGTTCAACTTTAGATAGTTATCGAGTTGAAATTGAAAACAATAATTATATATAACATGACACGTGGTGTATTTTAATTACAGAGAAGAGATTTTAAGCGAAACGAAACGATTACTCAATAATGAAATTGCTGACCAGTGACTGTACAGATTTGTTAAGATTTTGATTTAGATTCCTTTTTAAATTTTTAGATGGATATACTCGTACCCACAATAGTTTATCTGAGGTATTTAATTGAAATATATTAACAGTAACATGCTTTATCCGTCAAAACAACGTTTTAGAATTTACTGTACTGTTAAATTTAATAAATCGACTACATTATACCACTTCAATATTTTATTCGGCACCTGATTTATTTAAGTTAGATATCATAGAATACAGATGATCCGATGTACGTAGCCACTCAGGTATTGAGCGCCATACAATTAACTGTAGTAACTGTCAACAGATATATCTAAATTTAAAAAAAATACGACGCATTTGGTTTTTCTCTATGTATGACGGTACCTACATCACTTTTATAAATATTAGTCGACTACGTAGAATAATTATAAATAAAACGTTCCAAAATGTATTTTCGATTCAAATGTCGAAAAATATTAAAAATTAGCAACTTTTTCATAGCCGGTTTATGGTGTGCGGTACGATTGTATCCAGTTTTATATGGAATAAAAAAAACCCGTTTATTTTCCGCGTTTCGATCAATACTAAATTGTTGTGCGATTATAATGGTCATGTTGACCGAAAGGCGAAATGTTATTGTAATTTTTGTACATATGTAATGGAAAGCGCTATTAAGTCATATGTACACTGACTCCTGACTCCTCCCGTTCGTACGTTACTGAGATGATGCTTACCAAACCACTTGTTGTAATTACGGCGGTGACTGTCGGCATTTCGTCGTAATACATTCCCTTTCACTGATCCCAGTTGTTCTGTTACACCGTGGTACAGTTAGTGCAGTGTGTTTGTTTTGTTTAACTGACGAATTCAGAGAAAAATCAAATAATATCCGACTAGCACAGCGTGGCGACTGCATGTTCCTTACAGAACATAACTATTATACTACCTGTACGTTAACCGTTTGACAACAACGCATGTATCACAGTAGATGACACTCGCGTAATATTTAGAGACCTCAGAGTACTAAATTGGGGTAAGTTAAAATTATATAAACTCACTACGATTAGGTTCTTATGCTATTTTCTTATAAATACAATTCGGTTTTAAAGAACTTTATAAACATGATATTTTCTTTAATAATTTATTTTATTTTTTAATTGATCTAAGGAAGTTCTTCTCGCAGACTTGACCTATTTATTTCATTGTGTCTATATTTGTTAAATCAATTTGTTTGTTTAAAACACTATTGACAAATTAAATGTGGTCTAAAAAATATGCAGATATTACGTCAAAGTAAAATGTGAATGATAATCTTAACAATAATAAACTAATAATTAAGTTCATAACGATCTTTTAAATTCAAAAAATGTATAACCTCTCATTAATGCATGTTGTTATCAAATTAAAGTTTAGTGTGCTAAAATACAATTTCTTTAGTCGTATAATACTTTTAGTTCCTGGAATATTTGTTAAATTTAAGAAAATTTTTGTATGTGGATTAAATAATTATTTTATGTTTTTAAAATATTTAAGCAGTGAAAGGATAACCACATGTTATATCATATAATAATACTGTATACCTAACAGTACTTATAAAACAGTAAAACTACTATATGGTGTAATTAATATAAACTGATTGCAGTAGCCTATATTAAGTAAAAGCATTTAGAAATGATTATACCTACTATCTACCTAGTTTTAAAATTATTCAATTGTAACTTTAAACAATTTATTAAGTCTTATCGGTATAATTAATCTTTTATGACTTTTAACCTAATATTTTAAAATATTTTGTTTTTAAACTTTATAATACATACAATAAAGTGTCAATGTGTCATATGCTTTAATATTACTATAGCCTATAATAATAATTTTCATGAAGTCACCGAATACTAATTATTAAACTTAATTTTAAGATTCTGTTAGAGGTATTTTGGTTTTTGGTTATCAATATCAGTTGTTAGATTCTTAGTTGATATTTTAATTATTTATTCTGCTATTTTCACATTGTCTCCGGTAATGTCGGTTAGGGGCTACGGTGGATTGAATCAGTGGCGTATATAGGTTTTCATTTCGGAGAGGGCGATTATGTATTTGATTTTTGGGTGGAAGGGAAGGAGGAAGCACACTATTACAAAAAAAAAAATATTTTAACACTATAAGACTTCTCGACTGTCATTACATCATCAGAGAAATAAGAAACTTAATTTTTTTAATGATTTATTATTTTTTAAAAGTATAAAAACTACATTGTAACAAACAAATTTTTTATTTGAGTCACTCAAAATTCACCACATATTTTCTTAACAGAATAAACATATTTTATAAATATAAAGTTTTAAATAATCGCATAAACAACATTCTTTAGTGTCGCGACAAATTTTCGGAAACCCCCAGCATTAAGACATATACATGTTAAAATTAACAATCTTTAACAATGGTGTTTTTCATTTCGGAAGGGGCCCGGGCCTCCTCGCCCCCCCTCCATCCAATAAATACGACCCTGGATTAAATATTATTGCAATATATAACTAAATATTTTAAATTAATTAAATAAAATTAATTTTTTTTCAAAAAGATTTTAATATCTTATTTAAAAGGAATTATACATACATTTATAAATGTTTGGATAATGCTGAAAATAAAATCCAGTCCGAGCGCCTTATCAAAGATACAAAACGAATATCTTTTTAAGAATTATGATCAATCGATAAGTCAAAGGAAAAAATCCCCTTAAAACTGTTATACTCGTACATTTAATCAATATCTATACTTGTTTATAAATACATGGACACGATCTATTCGTATCATCAGGGTATACTCGAAAACCGTGCGATTAAGGTAAGGGTTATATCAAAAGATTAGTTGAGACTTTTCAAGTATCATAGTACATATAAGTTATGTATCAGTCTGTAATTGGTTAATTTCAATGGTCATAAATGATATTCTTTATTTAAAACATTCATTATTGACATAGTGATGTCACAAAAATAAATATTAAAATTTATAAAAATTGATTAATTTTAATATATAGACTAATTATTATAACTACATCATTATAATTAAATTTTTAATATAAGATAGAATAAGTATAAATATAAATATAGAATTATATTTTTTTTTACATATATAATTTATCAACAATTTATTTAAAATCTTATTGCGAATTGTTATTGTTGATACGTTTTACTATGATAAAATTGGTAAACATGTAAAACGTTTAGTTTACTATTTGGATATTTAGCTTTGGTTATATAAGTAAAATTTAGTTTATATTTTGAATAAAAAATTTCATCAATTGATAATTCATAAGAAAAATTTCCTTTAGACTTTTTGATTTCCTTTTAGTTTGATAAAAAATAAATGACGGCTGTTTGGAATTTAGTGTTAATATGATTTCCTTAATTTTTCCAAAAATATTGGAAATTTTTTCCAACAATTTCAGTATTAATGAATACCTACTATATTGATTATTGATATGTAATGCCTTAATTAAAATAACTTTAATCGATGTATGAAGATAGGTTTTCAATTACATAAAATATACTTTCTATATTATGTGAACATGAGTAACTTACAGAATCGCAAATTAGGTTCAATATAATTTTAATATGCTATGTTAATATATTACGATGCATTTCAAAGTTTTGAAATATCCAAATACAAGTTTATTATACATATGTATTTAGTAATGTAAAAATTAGTACAGATTATAAGCTTCTTACGTAAAATAATTTCAAGTTCAAAGCCTTAAGTATTTAAACACTTAAGTCATGGATTCTGAACGAAAGGAAAAACATGTTTAAAAAATTATGATGCAATACTATAGCATTATTATTAATACCTGTTATATATGTATACTGTAGTTCGGGCGTGTGACATTTAACATAAATTTTTATTCATCACTTCAACAAAGTAACGTAACATTTAATAATCGGAAATATTAAAAATAAAAATTCCTTGCATATGGTTTACTGTTATATATATATGTGTGGTCTGCAGCTCCGTTTTAAAATTTATTATTGTTTGTTAAAGAACTAATCGAATCTCTTGGTGTTCCAGGTGTATCAATATTAAAGTAAATGTTTCACATTTACTCATCTACCATTCTTACTTAGTCCGCTAGTAAATTAATGATTCCATACTTTTGTACTAAAATAAGTAGGTAATTAAGTCTCGTTATCAATTATTTAAGATTCATTTTGTACTCTTTAATGAGATCTCATCAAACAAGAGATTAAATTTACAGTCTTATACTCGATGAAACTGCGAAAAAACGTTAAAATCAACTGTATGTAGGGAATGATTATATTAACAATTATAGGATTAAGAATTTTATCCTATTGAGAAAATTATTAAAATTTTTAAAAAATAAATAACAACACAAAAGAGAGTAGGTAGTTAGTTATTTATGATATTCTTAAAATATTATAAATTATTCTGGGAAATGTAAAAATATCTTAAAAAAGACAATATATTATCGAATTGGAAAATATTTTTTTGATTACTATAATGAATTATTCTATATAATTATTATCAATTGTCTTGACTATTTTAAATAATTATTTCATGATGTCCACAAAAGTACAACCAAAAAAATCAAAGTGAAAATCGTTATAATTTGCACGAAAAAAATTTAAAAAGTCATATTAGTTTTATTTGAGACATTAATCAATTGCAAATTTATTAAAGTGCAATATTACGATAGTTCGTTCAGTAATATTTTGTCTCCTTTTCCACAATATTAATATTCATGTTCATAAATAAGGTATGATTTCTGTAGATGTTTTGAATTCATGAGTAATAAAGTAGTATAATTTATTATTATTATTTAAAAAAAATATATGCTATAATAAGTAATAATAGTTCGATGAAATACTTAAACTCATTATTAAACGATTGATATTCATAACTTTTCGTAATGTATAGGAACGTGAATTAAAAATTAAAAAACAAAAAATTAAACAAAAACATAAATAAAGAAATAACAAAAAATATATATACAAAGTTATAACATTTGATTTAATATTTTATTTTAATAGATGTAAAATATGTATTAACAGTTTTCTTTTTCACTGAACATTTTTTATCTACGGAAAATACTTTTGTTAGACTTGAAATCGAATGAATTAAAAACATCAATAAAAATGCTATCTATGAATAAGTAATATACCTACTTAATGGATGCGTATTTAATCAAAATATGAATTTATGATGATAATTATTATTTCTTTTTTCTTTTTGAAAATATCAGTGCATATGACACCTACTGAATTGTATAAAGCAATTAGCAAATTGGCAATGAACTATAGATTTATTGTTTTATTGTATTTATAATATCAGATATTGTATACAGTTGACGCTCGACGGGAAGTAATATCTACATGAGATATTGAAGGTTAGAAAGGATAGAAGTTCTTCTACACAGTTTCGAAGTACCCATGATCCAAATAGAATTTACCAATGAGAGTCTGTCTAATTCATTTTGTTTATCATTTACCATTTATTACTATACGTACGTTTTTTTAATACAATCACAATTTTATCACCTATATAGGAACGTTAAGATTATAATTTTAAACGATGAGAATCACAAAAACAAGTGATTTTCTTAATGCGTGAGTATCTATTTATTATAATACCCGCACTGCGTGGTCATTTTTATATTTTTGTTATTGATGCATACATAATATGTTAGTATAATTTAGGTTGAGGTTCGGTATTAAGATATGTGAAAAACAAATGAATGTTTTCTATGGATGACCAAAATTAACGATTCCCATTGATCTCATCACGTGTGGTAGTCATAATAGTTTCATTATCTAAGGACAAAGTGTTCTAAAAAAGTAAAAATTGTGTTATAGTACTTTCCTATAAATATATATGTTTTATATTGTTACCAATTTAACAAATAATAAAATAAAATAATTCAAAATACAAACGTAAAATAAAATATCCAAAAAACTCTAATGTCAAATAAAACACAAATCAAAGGTTAAGATCGTCGCATAAAAGAACTTACCATCACAAATTCTGCCGTTCGGTTCCAAAGTGGCCTTCTAAAATGTTCCTATAATTCAAAATATTGATTTTGTACGTAATAAACAATATTGTACTTGATGAACCAATATTTTTTAGTATTACATTAATTTAAATATACATAATATCAACCAATATAGTATGATGTAATGTGTTCTCAAAATGTATAATTTTGTCTAACGAATAATTTATCTATTTATTTGTTAGTTATGTAGAATAAATGAGTATCTGCATACGGGTGTCAATCGAGTATAAAATGCCTATGTCCGAAGTGCGAAGATGTCTGACCATCAAATTCACAATTTTATTGGTGTTATCCGCCGTAGCTTTAGCTCAATCGCCAGATACTAATTCAGTAAGTGGCCCTGTCACGGCTAATGGAGGAAGTGTCACGAAATTTCGTAAATACCTACATCACATATATTTTAGATACATTTACTGTTCCGAGCGAAGATAGAATTTATTGGTATAGTTTATTAGTTTAATATCTACGAATAGTTTTTGATTTTTGATTTCAGTGCTCTAAAACTTTCACATGGAACCTAGAACACCGTATAAGACTGTTCATTTTGTAATACTAAATATTTTAAAAATTAAAAATTAATATAACTCGTAATTCAGAATAATATTATAGACATGCAATTTGTAACAATGAACTGTAACGTTGAAACCAAAAAATTCAGGTTGGACATACCTACCTATGAAATTATTTAACACCACAACCCCACGACTTAATTAAGTGTCTAACAATACTTCCTTATTACGAAAAGTTTTATTAAATAAATAAGTTATACTAATTAACCTCTCTATCGTCGAACGGGACCCGTTTCGCCCAAATGTTGTTGTTATAAAAATCCCGTTTAGCCCAGACTAATATAGATAAATTTAAAATTAAGTTGGTAACGGTTCAATCAAATATTATATTTTAGCCAACGACAAATAGAAATGGTGCTTATTTGGTAGGTATACGCTCTACAGACAAGTAACTAAATAAGTTTCTGATCTTGAAAAGACGACTATTATAAAACCTATATTTTTGTTAAAATAAATAATAATATATAAAACCGATTGCAAATAAGTGATAACCAGTGGCGCACGCAGGGGGGGGGGAGTTAAGGGGTTGTAACCCCCTCACGAAATTTTCTCCAATGTCTAGGTTAAAATTTACAAATTTTACAATTTGAAATATGAAAAGTTAGTATTGAATACCTAGTATCATTGATTATAGAATAGTCTATTCTATTATCAATGCTATTATTTAAGTCAAAATATATTAAGGATTTGCATAAGTTTGTTAATTGTAAAATGTGTTATATTTTTACCTTGACACCCCCCACCCAAAAAAAAAAAAAAAAAATCCTGGGTGCGCCACTGGTGATAACGCATAAGAGCATAAGAAATTCAGTCATTGTCGAATCTATATCGAACATACTCTGTAAAACACATACCAAAATATTTTTTATGAGTATTGTAGAGTATTTGAATAAATTTTGTTTTTTAATAATATGTTTTAATAAATACTGTGGACTAAATTTTAAATTTGTTAAATGTACCATTTTTGTGAACTGAAGAATAATTTTTTCTTGGAGAACAAAGAGTATTGTCTCATAGTGTTGTTCTCTGAACAACTCTAAATAATACACAAATATTACTAAATTATATAATTTAAAATAAAAGTATATAATAAATAAGTATTATAAGTATAAATTATTTACGCTAGAGTATCTGATAATGTAGTTGGGGTACTTAGTTCCCTCACCTCCGCCCGCAAGTCAAGTACTATATATATATTTTATATAGATATATAATTAATGTTATTTTATTGACCAATATTTTTGTATAGGCATTTACTTTATTAAAAAAACCTGTTTACTTTCACTGAACGATCTAGAATATGTATATTTGTAAACTAGATGGACAAGTATCAATATCTGTTATTTTTTTCCAACTTGTTATGTCATAATTTAGAAATAAAAATTAATTTTACACGATAATGTACCTAATACAAAAGTTTAGATGCAACTATTAACCGCAGGCATAATCTTACTGGTAACTATACTGCAGTTATACTCTCCTTCTACAACTGCAGTGCGCATTTACTATTTTTACTTGTTAACACATTTTAAATATTGTAATAAACTGGTTATTGCATGATTATAGAAAAAAAAGTATAGTTTTGTCACAACTTTACATTGACATTTATCATATTATATTCATACGTATGTATATATGTATATATGTTTGTATATTAAATTATACTTAATAGGTATTTACACATATAATGACAACCTAAAAATTAATAATTATTTAATATTCGATTAAAAAATCAAAGCTAGAAAACAATTTTCACATGATCATACGCAGGCCTGGCTCAAGGTATAGGCGAACTAGGCACCTGCCTAGAGCGGCACTTTAGTAAGGGCGGCATTTTCAAAATTGAACCGAACATTTTTTTAGTTCTATTGGTATTTTATAAGAAAAATATTTAAATGAATTCATTCGTGAAAACCACTTACCTATATAATAAATTAATATTGTCTAAAGTTATTGTATTAATTTATATTACGGCCTACGATGGGCGTTTTCAATTATTCAAAAAATATAAATATCCACATATCCGACAGTCGCAGTAATGATGGGTTTTAAGTAATAGTAATATAAATCATTTTAAGTCTTTTTACATATAATTTTATCCATAAAATAAAAAATTAAAAATTTTTTTAAGTAGATATATCACATAAAAAGTAGGGGGAGGGGCTAAGTTAAAATAAGAGCTCAATTTTTTTTTTTTTAGAGGTGGCAAAATTTGATTTTGCCTAGTGCACTATTTTTGCTTATATCCGGCCCTGATCATACGACTGTAAATGACAGTTATAAGTTTAAAAGAATAGGTACAAATTAAAATTAATAGATGAAATGCAACAGCAGTAAACACGTAAACGTTTCAAAAGACCAGGGATTGGCAATTCAAAATAACTACAGCCAATATTTATAATTTTTAAATCTGATTGGCTATAGTAAAGAAAGCAAAAATGAAAAAAAGGTCATTAAAATTAACAATTACCATTTATTTTAAATATTACATTTTACGACTGAACCAACATAATAAAATAAGTGCCTAATTCCTTTAGCTATGTTTACTATGCTGATATGAATATATATTATATATATATATATATATATACTATAAAGTGATTTAACTGGAGTTCAATACTAGAGAAAAATTTATCTTCATTTTAAGATCAACGTGATAAAATTAAATATTGATAAACGCTAAAATGTTATGAAATGATTTGGAAATGTAGCCAGGGCCAGATAAAAAAAGTATGTGGCCCGCCAGTTACCCATTCCTGTAATAAACAATCGTTATTCAACATTATGGTGTAATAAGGAGTTGTATTTTAATAATTATTATACATTTGAAAACAACGATTAACTATATTTAAATATTCAAATTGTAGAGCCCTGGATAATTTTAATTTCTGATCCATAACCAAATTCTTATGCAGCATTAATTTTATAGTATAAATAAAAAATCAGTAGTCATAGTTAAAAATGCTTTTAACATAAAATTTACTATATTTTCGAATCTATTTATCTTGCTAAAAACTATATCACCTATACATTCTTACTAATAATTTCATAATTTTACGGTATTCAGGGTAGGTTACCTAGGTACCTTATTCTGCAAGATATTCTTCTGAAACCGTAAAAATATAATTGTTTTAACTTAGAAACATTTTTAGTTATAATGTTATTACTTTCTGTAAAAGTATTCAAAAATAAACAGTAGGTACTTATTTAAGTAGTATAACAATAAATCTGACATTTTAAAAAATACATATCTGGTAAAATGTAAATATATTATTCTTTTTGTTGGTCGATATTATCTAATAATTAAAAAAATGTAATTATTGCAACATGGTTAATGCATAATAAACTTAATTGAAATCGTGTGCTTTTATGTTCATATAGGTAAATATTTTTTCTCAATGCAAAACACATACAAATGAATTCGACGACTGCATAAAAAATGCAATCAACAGTGTCAGACCATATTTTACAACAGGTATTTTATTCATAAAATTTATACGCATAACATAATGGTCCTCGCATTAAAAGGTGAATCAACTAAGGGTAGGTTAGTGATTTTGATACATAATAGTATATCAAAAAGTATGCTTGAATATCATGAAGAGCAAAACTGAAATTCAATTAAACATTGCAACCTATATAAATTTAATATGTACACATATAAATAAATAAAATGATAACATTTTAAATTATATTCTACACAGGTGTACCAGAACTTGGAATTCCTCCCTTCGATCCATTTTTTGCCAGTGAAGTGAAGCAGAGTAGAGGAGCTGGTTTATTTGGATATAAGTTAACATTATACAATGTTACTGAGAGCGGGTGGAGACAATCGGAAATAAAAAAAGTCAAGTAAGCACCATTGGCTGGTTAAAATGTATTGCTATTTACATAATTTTTATTTCCAGGACAAACTTCAATACGAATACAATTAAACTCACGCATTATTTTCCTGAAAAATATTTAGAAGGTTACTACGAAACAGAGAATACTATACTGCGACCTGGAGTCACAACAGTAGGCCAATTCAATTTGACTTTGTGTAAGAATTTTAAATTTTCAATTGTTAAATCGTGATATTTCGTAACGGATCCTTGATAAATATTTTAAAATAAATGAGTATTTATAGATTCAAATAACAATAATTTTTTTGTCTCTAAAAATATTTGTTTAGATGATTATGTACAAACAATGACCATGAGCAAACCAAAAAACACAAATCAAATTAAAGTAGCCGTACAGCTCCAGGAAATTGGAAATATGTCTTTACACATTGGCAATCTTTTGCGAGGAAGAGTCATAGTTGGTGAGTAAAAATTAATATCTAATATTTTCTTTTTTTTTTATAACCAGATTCTACAGATTTAGAAACCTAGAATCTAAAAATAGTTTTAGCTAACTTATATAATACAACATATTCATTAGATATCCCAAATATCCATTTTATATCCAGTACATTTTTAACATTATATGGATATCTACAGAGGAGGATTTATTTCGTATGATGGATGTTAACTTGCGTTTATTAGATATTTAGATTAAGTTCAAAATGCACCCGGCAAAAAGTTATTGTATAATTTAAACATAATAATATATCATCTACATACAGTTTTATCTTCAATTATAGGATATATTGCAATAGATCACCAGCAATAATACCATTCTAGCATTTTAGTTCATAAGATCATAATTGCTTTAATAATTAAATTAATAACGATAAATTAAAATATGTGAAAAAATGAAGGATATAAAACTATTAAAACTTACTCAGAGGTTATGGTAAGAAATTAAAATTTTAATTTAGATATAACACCAAGTTTTTTAAATTATTTTTAATATGCACCGATAAAAAGTGTAGGCGTTGAACATACTTTTTCATTATATAAACATACTTTAAGTAATATACAGTACAATTTTTAAGAACACAATTTAGAGATGTATATAATTATAAATTTTAATTCCGAAAAATTATATATTTTGTAAATGTAATATTAATATTCATAATATTATTTAAATACGTAAATAATGATTATATATTTGATATGATTTTACTATGTAATTTTAATGTAGTTTTCATTGCAATTTTTAGATATTTTTAACGCAATTATATCCGGTCTTTAATAATAATATAACAAACATATTAATTTTAAGAAATATCTTAAGGATACCCATTATATTTTGCACTTATTGAACAAATTAGTTTAAATAAGTTGGTGAACTATATCTAACATACATCACAGAACATAGTTTAAGTAATTTTCAATAGGTGGAACTTCAATTAAATTGTCTACCAGAGGAACATACAGAGAAAATCAAATCCTGTCATTGCGGTAGTTATGAAAATGTATTGGTTAATTAATCACCCATCACTATAGGTAGTATTCGATTATCACTGGGGTCATGGGCGCAATTAGAGCCTAAATATTGGAGGTGCTGAAATTGTTGAAAATAAAATAAAATGGTATTTAACTGTAATTAATATAGATTATATAGATCTGAAAAAAATAGGAGTCCTACATTTAAACTCAGGGGTACTAAAAACCTTATTGCGTCTTTGACCGGGGGGGGGGGGGCACTAGTGCCACGTACTTTGTATTTTAAAATATGCTCTGATACGTCATATTGAAAGATATATCTCAACTTTCAACGAATCACTTTAATAAGATCTTTAATATATTTTTAATGTTTTAAAACCACTTATTATCATAAGGTAAGGCTGTATCTCTAAGGCGGTATTTCTTGTGATCCCATGGTACGTTATTTTGTGTATAACTATGAAAATGAGTAATTTTTTATGATCAAAATGTTTTCGCAAAGTATATGTTTAAAAAAACATAGTCAACATTTTTAAAATCAATAGCACAAATTATGGTTTTAAATCACATTCTAAGTGAATTATTCTAAGTAATTGAAATGTTATAATAATTTATAAATAATAAAATTTTTGTTTTTAACAGAAAACGTTTTGGATCGAATAATAAACGCCTCATGGAGAGTTGGTTTACCAGTGGTGAAACCACTTATTAATGACCTTGTGGCATCAGCTTTTACAAAAATTTGGAATGATGCTTTTAATAATTTTGATTTTAATTTAATTCTTCCTTAAATTATCTGCAAGTTCGTATATTATTATTATTTTTGTCTTTATTATGTAAGTATATGGTTATTAATCCTTCGTCTGTACACTAGGGGTCTTTTATGGCACAACTGAAATTTCGAAAATGCAATTTTTTGAAATATCGTCATTTTTACAATATTATAAAAAATGTAATTATTAAGGAATCGTAAAACAAACTTCAGGATCTTAAAGAGCAACCCTCAATTAGTAAATGTAAATTATTTCAGATTTTTCCTAAGGGTTTTTAGTATTAAAAACATGTCTGTCCATTTATGAACCAGTGTACAGACGACGTACCAAAAAATAAGTGTACAGATGAAGGGTTACGCATTCATTATTAAATGGAAATTTAAATGTTTTTGTAATTTATATATTATTCATTTTCATCAATCACAATTATATCAATCCTTTTTTTTATATCATAATTATATAAGACTATAGGCAAGGCCGTATCTGGGGGGATCCAAGATGTTTGGACCCCCCCAAAATTTCTTCATTATTTTACGAATGTTTAAAATAATTATTTATTTAAATACCAACATAAATATTTTCAGACAAATATGACTTAAGCTCCAATTAACCATTGACTGCTTTTAGTTTTATAACATAATATCATATGAAAACTTGATATAAATTTTAATAAAAGAAGATTAAATCTTTTTCTGTCTTATTTTTAAAAAAAATATCAAAAGTTAAAATCTAAATTCAATAAAATTACAATATACACGTTTTGGACCCCTCCCGAAAAAAATTCCTAGATACGGCCTTGGATATAGGTATAATTTAATATTTTATAAAATGTATTAATTATTTATACTTTGTATGTATTCTGTGTTATAATTGTAATATATTAATATGTAATAAAATGTAATCAGCAAAATGCTCAATGTTTTCAATAATAAAATAATAATAAAAAAAAAAAATTATAAAAATTAAAAATTAAAATCTTTATTTTTTTCCAAAATACATTAGTTTTGAAGTAAGATTTGCACAAAATTAAGAAAAAAGCATATATTGGATTATTCCATTACAGTTTTCAAAATATATTGGAATAGTGAATCTAATTGCAAATATATTATTACTAAAATATTAAATTAGTTTAATAAAACTTACAATGTAAAACCCACCAGGTTTTAAATTATTTTTGTTTTCAATATAAACAGTAACCATCATAATATTTACGTGATCATTTTATATACTAATATTATACTAGAATTTGTATTCCAAATGATACATTTATCTCTAGAATTAGTAAATGTGGTTGAGATGATGATGAGAGAGTTACTATAGTCACTTAGAAAATGGATAAGAACAATTGCATAAAATAATTGTTTAGTTATCTAGTCTCAAGGTAAGAAAGTGATATATTATTATTTAATAAAAGAATTCAGTTCACGAAATATAAAGAGATTTTTAAATATTATTTATAGCATACAGTTCTATACAGCAATTTAAATAAGTAGAAATGCTACTCATCTATTTTTTTTCATAGAAAAACTCAATAAATAATTTAATTCTTAAAAAACATGCTCTAATTTATATTCATTTTGGAAAAAACATAATCTATATTAAAATGAACGATAATATACTAAATACATTTGTTATACATAAATAAATAATATTTAATATAATTGGTATAATGTTGAACACTTGGCCAAAAATAAGTTAAATTATAATTTGAACACATATTATACATTTTTCAAATTTAATGTATGTATATATAAAATAAATATAAATATTAGTCTGACAAAACTAAATACCTAAAAAATTTCTTCAATTTCTTCATCATCTTCAATATTTTCTTCATTATTATCTATTAATAAGCTATCAATATTAGAAGTATCACTACTATTGTGCGAAACTAATTTATGACCATCTAAATGTTTTGCAGTTTTGAAATGTCCATGACATGCATCACAGAAGTTAGCTACTCTATCTTCTAAATCTCGATCTTTAAACGACCAATAAACACTATCTACATGCTCATCTGAATGTTGTTTCATTTCCAACATATCCAAAGCTAAATAACTGCAATCTGAAGCAGTGCATCTAAAAAAAAAAATAGTTGATAATGTTATTAAATATATAAATGATTAATGATGCATTAACATTGTTAGACTTGCCTTATAAATTTGTTACGTAGCAATTCTTCTCGCCATTTGGTTAAATGATTATATGGTATATCATAAGATTTACGTTTCATAGAATGTTTTCCTTCATATTCTTCATCATTCTCTTCATTTTTACGTTTGACAGATTCTTTATTTTCAGGCAGCAATTCTAAACCATCTTCTGTTTCTACTAATTTAAAACCACATTCCTCCTCTGTTAAGTGTTTATAACCTTCTTCATGATGATGTAAAAGATGAGTTTTAAGTTTATTAGAAGATGTAGTCCTACCACCACAAATAGAACATTCAAATTCATCATCTAGATATGGTTCGAAGCACGTAGCAAAATGATCATTCATATCATCCACATCAAATGTCATATATTTGCAAGAATTATGATTGCAATGCACATAACCGTTTTTTAAACCCATTATCCATGTTTTTATCTGAAAATCGGTAGGACTATTAACATTTACTTCGGAACAGATAGATTCTGAGTCAGCTAAATCTTCTTGAATTTTCCATTGGGAATATGTAACTATTTTGCTAGCAGCATTTATAGTACTTGATGTTGGATTTCCATACTGACCCATTGGATAAGATTGAATTTTATTATCTTCATCAAAATCATCTTCAATTTCCTGTTCCAAATGAGAACACATTTTATATTAGTATCTATATTGAATATTTTAGTAATGGTGAGCATGCATTTTCAACAGTAAAATTTTTTTAAATTATATTCAATACAATTACGTAGTTTAAATTTTACAAGTCAGTGACATAGTTATAGTGAGATAGGGAGGGCACTATGAGTTCTATAATTATAAGTATGCATTTTTGTATAATTATTTTACATCAGTATAATCAGATATTATGTATTGAAAGATTCTCAAGGATGAAGAATAGGAAAACAGATTTTGTTTTAAAAAATGCATACTCAAAATTCTTATTAAAAAAATCACAATTTGACCTGTGTAGTAATATGGTATACAAAATTGGGGTTCTGCAAAACAAAGAATATCAAACTCAAAGTATCAAGTGAGCCAAATATATTGGATAGTGAACTACGTGGGTCGCATATGAAAATTTAACAAAAAAATTTTTTATATTATTATATATGTATACATATAAAACAATCAATAAAACTCACTTGATTACATTTGTTCAGAATATAATAACATATAAATAAAATATAGGTACCTGTTTTATTGGAAACAATAAATCTTTATGGTGATTGTTTTGGTGAAACTGTAGGGCTTGTTGTGATGATGTATAACCCTTACAATGGCGACAAAAAAACTTAGATGATGTGTCAGGATCTTCACCCAAACACTTTTCATAGTGTAACTCCAGTTCAGGTATTTTGTAACTAATAAAATGGCATTCAGGCATAAAGCATTGGGTGTACCCACGTGTCTTAATATCAGTTGACCATGACGCCAATTGTTGTTCAGTGAGTGTAGGCTTTATCACGATTGACAATACATCCGAATCCTTATGATTGTTGCTCTTATGGTAATCAAGTGCATCTTGGGATGTAGTTTGGCCACCACATGTGGGGCATACAAAATTACCAGCGATTTCTCCACGGCATGTTTTAAAATGTTCTCTCATGTCGTCTATGCAATAAGCAATGTAACGGCAGTGTTGAAGATGACAGCGAACAAAACCATTTTTTTCCAACATAATTTTCCATGACTTTATATGCACAGGTCTACTGCTTCGTTTCCTGAATAGCCCTTGAACGGGCGTTGCGGGGTTAGCTATAGTAATGGTCACTTCCTTAGACATTTAGCTAGAAATTAAAAAAAAAAAATGTATTTAACAAACAAATGAAAATTACAATTGTTTTATAAAATTACTCAAAGCGTAATAATTCAATTGTCAAAAAAGAAATTTTCAATTAATAATTTAAAATTATGTGTCTATACGACAGTTAGTTTTTTAATTTTACATACACAACATACATAATTTAACTAGATTGGTGGTGATTACTGAAGTGGGAATAGCACAACAGTGGGATACACGGATATCAAAATATGTTTTATATACGAAAACATTTGATTGAGAATTAAGTCAACAAAATCTCATATATTTATCCATGGATTTTAAATGATTTAAGGTTATGTTAGTAAAAAAATTAAAATGAGAGAGTACTATGAGAAATGTTGGGAACCACTGGAATTTGTTATCACTAGTTGATACATCATAAATAACACGGACTAAAATAATATAATGTATTGTCTTAAAAACAATCTTTGAAGACCGTGATATAATATAATAATGGATTAGCTTATTAGTCCGTGATAAATAGTATCTATCTATAATGAGTAACAGCATAACATAATCATAAACTAATCTATTCTGTGATCAAATCTTGTTATTAACCAAGTACACATTTGTAAATTTCAAAAACCTAGTAACTTTTATTAATGATTTATACTTTTGCATTTCGCATACGTACACATAAATTAGCGATATTTTTTACATATTAGACATGTATTTTATGAATGATACGTTTTACGAAGGGTTAACTATTGGTATATTAACTGGTATTACTCTTAATGTGATCAAAAATTATATTTTTAAAAATAAATATATAAATCGTGATACAACTAAACTAGATGTAACTGATGAGGAAATTCGAAGTGAATATAAATCCTCGACAAATGAAAATGAAGAATTTAAAATTGCATTATTGGTTCGACATGATTTAAAAATGGGAAAAGGAAAAATTGCAGCTCAAGTAAGATACACTTATAAATACATTTTGATAGTTAACATTTTATTATTTATGATTTTATTTGAAAATATACTTTTTGAGATGAAGAACGATAATTACCTAGTTTAAGAATTTAATTTTTAGAAGTGATATTGACTTCTTATTAATCTTATGTTTAAACCTATTATATAGTTCTTTTACAACCTTATTTACAATTTATGTATGTTTTTGGCGCAGTATGTTTATTTAGTAAAATAATAAAAGTAAAATGTATTTTGTGTTTTTCAAATTGATTTTATTGTACCACTGATTTGAACACATATCATTAAATAAACTTAACTATCAACATTAAATTAATATTATCCATAGTATATCCCATAAGAATAATTTAAATTATTAAAAAAATCATAAATATTTTAAAGAAAATAAAAAAATACAATTCACCAAATAATATTGTTAAGTATTGTATGAAGTATCAAAATAATTTATTTACTGAATTTGCTAAAATTCTAAACCATAATCCTAACAATGTAAAAATTGTTTTTAAAACTAATAATAATTTAATCAAATACATAAATAATAAAACTAAACTTTATCGAATATCCCTCTTTTTTTTAAAAATGCTGGTATATATAAACTTAAATGTAATTGTAATAAATATTATATAGGCAAGACAAATATACATTTTATAATAAGATACAAAGAACACATTTTTGTAATAAAATTAAAAAAGACTGCTCTAATTTAAATTTTGTTAAACATGTTTTAGAAAATAACCATAATATATACTATATCATCGAAAATTTATACATTTGCAACGAAATAAAGAAAAACAATTTTTAAAAATATTATAAATGTACATAGGTGAATATCATGGAGGGCTTAGACCCTCAAAAAATTGAAACATTGTTAGAAATTTTGTTCATTGTTTTTATGATTTACTTATTATTATCTGTTCGTTTTTTTTAAAATACTTAAAATAACAAACTATTTACAATAGCATTAACAATACCAATTACATAATTTGGCTACTTGCGAAAGAAGTTTCAGTGCAATGAAAAAAAAAACTTGGCTAAAGACATTGTTGGTTCAAGATAGGTTCAGCAATCTTTCAATACTATATATTGAAAAAGATAAAAAGCGATGATATTTTGAATATCTTTGCTAATACGAATATTAATTATTTTTAAATATACGTTATTTAGTGTTTTTTTTAATACAATTTAAACATATCTATATTTTTAATGGTAATAAGTTTTACTTCTAGATGGGAAGGAGGTGTGGGGGTGAAGCCCCTGTGGGTTATTTTATATTGAATTATTATAGCCCCTCCAAAAATTCAACCAAATGTCCGTCTATGTAAATATACAAACCGATTTTAAAAATAATTTCTTATTTATACATTTTAAATAATAATAAATATTTATAACCAAAGTATTTATATTTATTAAAGTATTTAGGTGTAATAAGAACTCATCTTAAATCATTTTTCGTGTTACAATAAATTATTTCTATGTAAAACGACTAATTTTTCTCAATTTAAGTATTCTTTCCTTTATTTTTTCATGTTCAGTTGTAATTTGAATGACTGTATATATCTGATCATGAATTTTTAATTTAAACTGATCATACTTAACAAATATAATAATATTCTAGGCTAAACATTTATTTATTTCTCTTTCTAAACTATTTTTGTTTATTTATTTATTAAAATATATTTTTTTGAATTAAGATACAAAATTAACATATGATCAACATTAATCCTTAATTTACCAATGTAAAAATTAACCTTTTTTTTATATTGATTTTACTTTGCGCTTAATAATTAAAAATAACGACCTTCTCGAACTTTAATACTTATGAAAATCTTAATTATAGTTTATTCTCCAAGAGAACATAACTGGGTGGCTACCAAAATTCGTCTTTTTCTGTGCATTCCACCACTTTTCAGCGTGTTCAAATATCAGTAATCGCATGGTGGGGGAAATTATAGTTATGGCAGAGCGAACCCATTGAAAAGCGGTGAAAATGCGAATGAGTTGTGTTCTCTCAGCAAACAGAGTATAGTTATACTGTTGCATAAAATAAAGTTTACAAAAAGTATATTAATCATTGTTTAAAACTGTTCTTCAATGTAAGGTATATGTATTATTGTATAGTGTTCACATGCAATTGTGCACTGTTATGAAAAAGGCTTAAGTTCAAAACCATTTGAAATAAAATCCTGGGAGTCAAACAACAAGCCAGTGGAAATATTCAAGATAGCAGATGAAGAAACTATGTTAAATTATCAACAGTTAGCAAATGAAAATGGATTCAATAACTATATAGTAGTAGATGCAGGTCGCACACAGGTTGCACCAAGGTCAAAAACTGTAATGGCTGTAGGCCCAGTTAAAAAGAAAATGATTGATTTGTTTACTCAAAATCTTCAAGTTTATAGTTAATTGGTTGTTATTAAATTAAGTAAATTTATGTTTTATTTTTGTATTAAATTAATTATTTAATATTTTTAATAAAATTAACTATGATTGTTTTAGTGTGCAGTTTTATCAGTAAATGCATATAATAAAAGTAAATTATGCGGACTACCCTCAAAATGTGCTAGAATTGTTTTGAAAGTACCAGATTTAAAAACTTTGACATGTATTCAAAAGCAATGCAAGTTATTTGATATTCATACAGCTATGTTTACAGAAAATGATGAAGTGACTGTCTTAGCTATTGGTCCGGCCAATGAAGTTTCTATTAATGCACAAGTACATAATTTAAAGTTATATTAGGTAATTAAAAATATTCTTACCCAATAGCTTCAGTTTTTGTATTTGACATTTTTGAAATATTAAAAAAAAAAAAAAAATAATAAAACTTGTCTTTGAGTTATTCCATACTGGAACTGAGGAAATTTATAAAGTAATAAATAGTTTATGGTGGCCTGTTAATTGTTTTAGCTCATAATAAGTATAAAAATTCAGGTAAAATATATAGATTGTATTAAATAAATAACATACTTTTCCAAATAAATCTGACTAAAATTTGATTTGTAAATGATTCCATTCATCAGCTTAATCAGCTGATTTTAAATATAAAAAAGAACCAATTTTTCATTATATTATTTTTTATTATTTTCTTCAAATAGTTTACCAACAAAATATCTAGATTCAGTGAAAAATTATTTTATTGTTATTGAAACTAAACCTACACATATTTTCATCTGTATCACCAATGTGAATCTAATGACTTCTAATGTGTTTCGTTTTAGAATCAAGAAAGTAACTAAAAATGAACAAATGTGTTGTTAAAGCTAAACAATTTAACACATTCAACTTTATATTAAACTCTTTATCTTTATTTTTAAACATATAATTTGGAACTAGATAGAGCATTTAAAGAGTGGTAATCAAAAATCTCAGAAGTAAAAAACAAATATTGTCATTAGGTTTTATTTTCAAAAATATAAAAAAATGCTATATCAATACAAAACTGCTACTTCTACTGTTTTCAATCAATTGTTAACAGGTTCTCAATTACTAAAATATATTTAAAATTTACTACAACAGAATTAAAGACCAAAGTAGGGTCCTGTTATCTTACTAATCAATTTCTTTCTGTAGTTGAAGTAATCATTCATCCAACATTTGTTGAAAACCTTCAAGCCTTCCACTAAAATCTGCTCTTTGTGAGGTTAGCCATCTAGTAAACTACTAAGTATATCTAATTTATAAGAAATTCGAAATCTCAATACAACACAAAAAAAACTATAAGAATTGTTTAGAAAACTTAAAATGATTTATCATTTAAATATACTAAATAATTTAATTATTTTTTCAAATTTAACAGGAATTTCTTCAAAATATTACACCCAATTACAAAAAATTTTTAGAATTCCAATAACTTAACAAAAGTTTTGATAAAAAAGTCCATAGACATTATACAGGTCAATTCAACAATAAAATAACTGATTAAGTAACATATCACCGCAAAAAATAATTTAATTTATTTCAAGCACTTTGAAGTTATATACTTCAGTCATTACAATAAAACTCACTAGATGTGTCCCTTAAATCTTCATGTTTTTTAATCTACCATTAATTTTACAAATTGTAAATACCTACATTTTTAATAATACAAAAATTACAAATAAATTAGTACATAATAATTATTGTGTATTAATTCTTTTAATTAAATAGTCAATTTTAATAGCAATTGGAATTAGCAGTTAATTTGATGACAAATAAGACTGATAAAATACACCAACTGAAAGAGACAGAAACCATGCAAAACATATCCACCATGTAGCAAATCCAAATATTCCTCTATAGACATCCACTGTTAATACCTAATATATATATATATATATATATATACACATAATATAAAAAATAATTTATAATTTAATAAATTAAAAAATATTTACTTGTTTTAATGACTGAATAGAAAAATATGTTATATTTGGTTCAAGTATTGAGTTTTGAGTATTATTAATTATTGTTGAGGAAGAATTGGTAAAAACTTGGAGCCAACTAAAATTGCCTGTTCAAAATAATAAAAGTAATTTGCAGTGCTATTGATTTCATATGAATATATCAATATAGAAATTTCATTACCTAATGTTTTATAAAAGAATATGAAGAACAACATCATTACAAGTGGTATAATATATTGTAGCACTACAACACATGTATAGTAAAAAATCACAGACACCTTAAAATGAAAATTGAATAAAAGATTAAAACAAGAAATATATTGAAGTATAAACAAATTTTACTTGTTTTTGCAAATCTTTGTTGGTAATTCGTCCAGCTTCTTTTTTTTGTTGTATCAAACGCTCTTGAGCCATGTTTAGATAAGCTTGTATGAATATGGGCATCAAAAATAGTCTTTGGAATACGACAAATACTACAGCCCAACATCTTAAACTTTCAAATTGTTCAATTGTCATCCTTGAATTTTTAATTTTTTTATTACAATCAGCAAGAACTTATTATTTAAAACTGATTTTATTTACAATGGTTTATTTGATCCAGAAGTATTTTTTGCAGTAAACAAATCTACACCTATAGGCTTTACCCAAAGTAGAACAAGTAAAAAATGAGTTACTAAACTAAAATTCATTATACTTTTAGTAAATCTTGCGCTGTAATGCAAACATTTGGCATTTGTTTCATTGGATTTACAATATCTATAAAAGATATTTTATCAAAATAATAGTATTTTCATAACAAAATGTACTGTAAATACTTCAGGCAATCCCATTGCATTTTGGCTGAACGGATTCCAGGAAATACAAACATTGCACCTGTCACTGCACACCATATAGCAAGACAAAATTTTACTATTAATTTTGAGGCAGGTCCCCTTAAAAAATATACATTTGCTTATATTATTTATACATTTATTATTGAAAAATATGTAATTACTGTGAAGATAGACCATGATTATGTAAAAACTCTGTGGAGCTTTCATTAAAGCTTTTGTATGCAGTATCCAATCGTACATCAAGTTTAGATTCGTCAATGACTAAAACTATCATAGCAATAACTAAATAAACAAAAGCACCAACAATAACTGTTGAACGTTCACCAGAAGATTCAAAACCACCACGAAAATATTCTAAAGTTAAAGACATAAGGATTTTGCTAAACATTTAAAAATCAAGGAAAAAATAAAATTGTTAAATAAAAAAATCAAGGAAAAAATAAAAGGATACAATGCAAAAACTATAACAATTGAACACCACAGCATACTCAGATTAATTTCATTTTCAATTGGAGAGTAGTAAGAATATATTTCAGTACTTAAGTATACCAAAGCTGCGTATAAAGAAAAATTTGCGAGCCACTGATATTCCATGAAATATCTAAGCTGAAATAATTCATGTTCTTGAATAGGTTGGCTTTCCAACTAAAACATAATTTGGTATTTAAATCAAATAGATTATACACACTAATTAATATACATATTTATATATTATTGAAATAATAAGATAATACTCACTTCAATAGCTAGATTTTTAGGTATCTGAAATATATCAATATTATCATTTTGCCCATTAATAGGTCGTTTATTTTGTTTTGAATCTTTTTTCTTTAAACCTAATAACTGCCTAAGTTCTTTGTCTGTTGGATGTAAGTACCGAACTAGCCTGAACAGAAAATATACATTGTTAATTACGATTAAACATAATACATTAAAACCTAGAAATAAAATCTATTTTTTAAAAAAATAGATTTTTTTTTTGTTCTTTATTTTAATAGGTTAATAGTGAATTTCTATCAACTAAAAATATAAATACATATTGAAAACATGTTATTTTTAATTAAAATTAAAATTTTATACAGTAAAACTTCCAATTAACTGTCCTGGAGGAACCATAAATGACAGCTATTTAGAGGTGATCGTTATTGAAAGTTTCACTAAACTTAATAAGTTATTAAATATCATCTCATAAGTTGATACTATATGGGTTCAACAAATATTTTTGTTTAATGTTTATCTATTTTTTATCGAAACATATATCTGTTGTTGAATCAGTATGCTACCAGCTAAATATAAATTGTTAACAATTAAGTTTACCCCTATGCAAGAAAGTTATTTGACTTATTATTGTAAAAATTTTATAAACAAATAAAATTAAAACAAATAATAAAACTTCAAATGTACTCACATTGAAGTCATCTCCCAGCTTTATTATTTATAATTTGAACGGGTAAACCGAATGTTAACTATAGGTAATAAACTTAATAATTTTGATTTTTTTTTCAATTCTCAGAGTTAAAAAATTGTATGAAAAATAATTGTAATTTATAGTTTATAATTTATTTATTATCTTAAATACTTATGGTTGCATTTTACAACTCATCTTTATTATGTATGTTAAAATTACTTTATTCATGTACTTACTAATTATCTCTGTACTCTATATTCACGGCCGTTTATTAAATATAAATAAATAAATAAAATATACACTCACCCTGTTGAACACAATGTCCATCGGGCAAATGAATAAATTGCACTAAGACGGTGTATCAAATTTATGGCAATCATTGTAATAATTAGTTGGATACCCAATAAAGTCTAGAACAAAATAAAACATTAAAATTACTAAGAGTGCACTTCACGTGGATAGTCAAAAATAGATATATACTTATTAATGAATGAACATGTATAAATATATAGATGGTTTAAATAATTAATCTTATTATTTATATTAAACATAAGTTTAAAATATAACAAAAATAATAGAAATTATGATAGCAAAATTATAATACACAATTTGTCACAGAAGAAATTGTTCCTACAGCTAATTTATAGTATTTTATTATTTAAATTTTTGATATTAATTTTATCAAAAAATATTTATAAAAATATTTACTGCCTTTCATAAAACCATCAATTTAATTGAAAATTAAACAGTTAACTAAATTGATCATTTATTAAAATCTTAACTATAAATAATTTATAGCAAAATAAATTTAAATACAATTTAAAAGATTTTCAAACCCTAAAATAAAAAAAAACCTATTTTTTCTTTAAATTTGATTGAGTCCAAACAAATACCAAATACATCAGCCAACCAATATCCTACATGGCTTGATAATATTGAAAATCGATAGACGTAATGTACATAGAAAATAAATAAGTTCAGCAAACGTAATTAGAATGAAATTATATTACTGCAAAGAAATTCAAATAAATATATAGCATTAATATTGCATTGCCAGTAGCAACGAGCAAAGGCTTAAGATCTCCTGAAAGCAATAGGTTTTCCAACATTACATAAAAAAAACAAAACACCAACAGAAAAAATATCATTAACCTATGTACAGTGTAATTAATTAAATACCAAAACGTTAACCCATATGAAATATTATTTACCGCCATTATGTCGCGTAGATGTATAGACAACCAGCGTCGCTGTGAAAACTAAGAACGGCCTGGATTGGCTATAAATAGAATACCGGACTCGGTTTAGACCGGCTGGATCCTAAATCGGTCATCGATTGTTACACTTTCGTCTAACAACACCTTATTCAACGTCCGACACTTTTCATATGTGTGTTATACGATCCTCAAGAAATCGACGAATTTTTAAGCAAGATTTTCTCTATTACAGCAGCGGTCGTGCGACACTCATTATAATATAAGCTTTACAAACGATATGGACGATTATGGTGGAATATTCAAAATTCAAACACTGCTTTGTTTGTCAACACGATTAAAATAAAAAGGTTTTCTAGACTACCGGAGTACCGGCAGCAACAACAGCTGCAGCTGACATGCGTGAATAAGTTTTATTTACTTTTTTTTTTATCAATAAGGGAACCCAAAATGATTTTATCAGAGTAATGTACAGAATAATATAAGCAAATGTTAAAACTAACCTATAATTTCGGCGTTACTAACTTTGTATCACTTAATCTATAACGCAACAGTCCATTGAGGTTTGTTTTTCACTATTTTCAAATACGAAATATGTTATAATTTTTCATCATACTTATATTTTGTAACAAAACCCGTAACCATGTTTAGAAGTGGCTTTATAAAAGTAAGTAAACATCAATCGAACAATACTTAATTTTTGTCAAGTAACTATTAAAATCTACATTGTACCAACGCGATATTTTTTTTGATTTAGTTGAACAAAAAAGAGCAGCCAGAAGAAAAAAAACCAAAAGCATCTGATGAAAGGGGTGTCGTGTACCTGGGACATGTTCCCCATGGTTTTTACGAGAATGAAATGAAACTTTATTTTTCACAGTTTGGTGAAGTTACAAATATCAATATTCCTAAAAGCAAGGTAATTCAAAAAATCACATGCCAATCAAATACATTTTTATCAAAATATATTTATTTTTTTTATTCTCTGTGTAAATAAATTAAATTTAATGCAAATTTGTATTTTAATATTAGTAATTAAAATCAAAATACCCTAGTTTTTATTTTTTATTTTATGCTCAATCAATAATTTAAGTTCTCTTTTATACATTCAAGAAAAGATGATATATTAACACACTTATTAACAGTCTGTTAATAGGTATATTATAATGAAACAATACATTTACATTATACAATTTTTAATGCATTGAATTATTGACATATTTTTTATTAATTTTTTTTCTAATTTTTTATATATATTTAAAGTATCTATATATAATTATAATACATTTTTGTTAAATTATAGAAAACTGGTAAAGCACGAGGATTTGCGTTTGTTGAATTTAAGTACCCAGAAGTGGCCAAGGTAGTTGCAGAAACGATGAATAATTATTTGATGCATAAAAAAATTCTTGTCGGTATGAAAAAACAATATCTAATTATTGCAACAATAAATATAATTTCATATGTGTTTATATTTAAGCCAAATATCTCCCACCAAATCAAGTGAAGAGTAATACATTTTGGCGCAGTGACAAAAAGAATATTCCTCTAACTGCAAAAAATAGATCAATTCAAAGAAAGGCAATGGAAATACCATTAGATTTTGAAAAACAGAAGAAAATTAAATCTTCATTAGAAAAACGCGTGCTATCTAAGCAAAAAAAATTTAAATCCAAAGGAATTGAGTATGAGATACAAGTTAGTAAAGTTTTTTAGGCGCAATAAATTTTATTGGTAATATGATGTACTTTTATTTTAGATTTATAAATCCAATCCATCTATTAACATTGATGATTCAAAACAAATTGAGTCTGCAAGTGAATTTGAAGATAATAATGATAATATAACTTGTTCAGAACCAAATTCTGATATGGATAATACACTTATAAGCATTCCTGAAATAACTAAAAAAACTAAAGTAAAAAAAGGAAAAGGCCGTCAACTAAGGATAAATTCATAATATATGTTGTGAACTATATTTGTTTTTAGTTTTTATTTTTTGATAAAATTATATATTAACGACTAAATAAGAATTAGCCTTAACTTGATAACTTATTAATCTAGCTATTCCTGCTCCTTAAAGATGCTTTTTATGTATTAATACTATTATGAGTACACTGATAAATAATATTTAAAAAAATAATCATTCTTAACACATATTTTTATGTATATTTGTATTAGGGTAGTTCTTTAAATTTAACTTATTATATAGTGGAATATTTTATTTTTAAAAGTTATCACAGTATTCTCTTAATTTGTTTAGTAGTGTATCATGGGCTTTTATATACCACATGATTCCCAATACTAATAATATATTTTTTTTTATTTATCATTGCAAACTTAATCAATTACTACGAACTTTATCTGTGAACTACAAAATAATATAAATTAACATTATAATAAATATATACAGTACACAATAATATATATATTAGAAAAATCCATCTTCAATTATTTTATATTTTTTTATATATATTTTTTATTATAATTAGTTTATATATAATTCTTCCCAGTTCGTTACAAGATGGTCCAATTGATTCTAAAGTTATGACCTCTTGCATAAATTCTCTTATTGCCAATGATAATCTTAACAATTGTTCTCCCATATATAGTTCAGTCATCAAGTTATTTGCATCCATCATATGTTCAAAGAAACATGGTAATTTGATTATATTTCCTAATACTCTTGTCCCTACTTCCATGTGTTCATTACCTCCCAAAAATATGTGTATGAAACTTTTATGTATAATCAAATTATTACTGCTGCAAGAATGGGTGTAATATACAGGGGCAAAACTATGGGGTGAAAGATGGGGGTTTCATCAATTTTAAAGGATGTAATTTTTGTAATTATTAACAATTAATTTGATATTTTTAACTTTGTTAAATACTGTTATTAGATAAAAACTCAATAAGTATGATTGTATATTAGAAAAAAAATTCTTGAGAAGACTATTTGATTATTGGTTTATGATAAAGCATAATTTTAACATTTTCCCCATGTGTAAAAATCAAAGGATTTATCAGAAACATTAATCAATATTACAGCATCAGATAAAATGGTTACAGAATAAAACAATAAAGTAAAATATAAATATATAATATATTAAATAATTAGAAAAACCACTATTAGAAAATATTAAGCCTGTTTGTTTTTTCAGTTAATATGATTTGATAGTTGATCAGACTACGACTACAGTTTAAGAAACTCGAAAGATGAATAGGCGATAGAACAATAAAAAAAAAATTTTGTTGGTGTACAAATAAGTCATTAGTTATTTATAAAAAAATTAATAATTTGATGGTTGAAAATTATAATATGAGTACAGCCATACGAGTTACAATAAACACGATTATGTATCAGTGTGTTTGCTGTTTTATATAAAATTTATATTGGAAAATAATATAATATTACAAACAAAAATAGAAAATTGCGAGCATTGTCGTATGCTGGGCCAAGGATGATTCTCAGTATTTTGTTTTCAAACGACATGAATTTTTATTCCATTTTGCTTGTCAAAGGCCACACCTCGCATCCATATGTTAGCGTCAGTCTAATTATCGCTGTGTAGTGTAAATATTTAGTCAACGAAAAGGATGCCTTTTCCGCCTTGATGATTCAGCTATTTAATTCAATGGACCAGTCATTATTACTATTGATAGCGGCCCCCCAGATATGTAAATTGATGCACTTTTTCAAATGTATGCCCTTGAATCACTACATTTTCGACCTGGTTGTTTTCTGGTAATTAACAATACAACCACAAGCTCCATCACTTTGGTTTTACTATCATTTACATTTAGCCCTATGGTTTTTGCTTCGTTAATGAGGGCTGTGGTTCTTTGTGCCACGCTCTCTCCATCATCATCGTTTTAATATATTTTTAAAAAATATATTAAAATTCATGTTATGTAAAAGTGTAAAGTTAAAATTTTTATTACTTTTTAACTTGTCAATATTTTAAAAAGATGAAATAATGGAAGCGTAATAGACATGTATATAAATTATCTTTTGCTCAGTGACAATCTTTTTTTTTATCGAATTATAAGTAACAATTGTAAGGTATGTAATTTGATTAACATGAAAATATTTAATAAATGTAAATGGAATAAGACAACTTACAATAAACATAAGTTAAATGCTATAAAAAAAATAGAAAATAAACAAATAATATCAATGTATTCCTCGCATCATTCGTAATCTAGAATACAATTAATCATTTTGCATGTACAAAGTATACATAGTATAAATTAGGGCCGTATTTAGCAATTTGACATCAGGGAGCAACAACAAAAAACGCCTCATTATACCAAATACAAATTTCTTTCTGAAGAACAATTCACTGCTGGTATACACAAAAACATTCTAAGTGCAACGTCAACATTTGGATAGATTATTTGTAAATCCTTGGATATATCGACAGTACTCGACCGTTACCGAATATGTGTGTGTGTGTGTGACGTGACGCCGTTATTGGGGATATATGTATATTTTTTTTTGAGATACTCTTTTTATTTTGTAAAGAAGTTTCACTTTAAAAATATTAGATCATTAAATATTGAAAATATAAAAAAATTAGCCGCCCTCTTATATTCAACCGCCCGGAGCAACAGTACCCTGTAGCTCTCCTCTAAATGCAGCCCTGGTATATGTCTTAAGGCATGTACGCACTAGTGAATTTAACCGCGTTATCGAAACTTCGTATCAATTCGTCACTGCTGCGAATCACTTGCAAACGAGACGTTATTTGACCACTGAATAGATTCAATATATTCTGTGATCTAACAATGGGGTGAACTAAAACCACAAGTTACATTAAATAATTATGACTGAATATATAAATTAATATACGAATGTATACCTAAATACTCTGTAACTAATCGAAGACAGACTCGGCTTGCTAGTACCATTGATTATAGAATAAATTTTTATTCTATAATCAATGCTAGTACGTACGCGCCTTAACAGTTTACATCGATGTTTTATACATTATTATGCTATAAAATTACCTATACATATGTGCCGTTTGAAATATATTTATGGTGCAAAACGACTGTATAGCGATAAAAATTTGTAGCAATTATTTAGCAAATCAGAATACTATAAATTATGATTATTATTCAAGTAGTATTTGTTAAAAAAAAAAAAAAGTTTAAAAAAAATATAATTTTTAATTTTTGAAAACTTGTATGATTATACAGTAATAATATTAAACAATTAACGAAAGTATAATTAATTATAATAGTTTTAATAGGTACTTGATATATTTGAATTATAATTACACACGATAAAATGTCCAGTTAAAATTGGCATATTGTTACATGGACCTTCATTCAGTACTGTTTGTTTAATATAATGATTAACGATTAATTATACTTTCAAATGTAATATCAACCGGCAACAAGCAATTTAATTGTTTTATCGAGGACAAAGAAATGGACGCGATGTTTTTGTGTTTTTTATCTCATTGAGTGTCATTTATGTTTAAAGTATATACAATTATTATAAACCATATAATAACAACATTTTCCTTGGATAAATCATCAACGTGCCAAGTTTTAATTAAAAGTAAACTTTTATTTAATATGAACATGCTGAACAACCCAGTTTCGTCTTAGAAAACAGTTATCGACTAATGTCGAATTAAAAGTATCAATATTATTGTTTAGTGCGATTTAAACTGGTTTCCTAAATTAATTAATCTTAGAGCTTATTTTATCTAAGACTCTTAGTGTATACTATAAAAACTCTAAAGTGCTAATATTGATAAAAAATGCCCGTAAAATGTAAGATAATAGATTAGTTAATCATATAATTTCCGTAAAATTCTAACATATGTAATAGTTAAATTACAAATTAAATTAGTTAATTTAAAATGTATATAACTTTTAAATTTTTCTGCATTTACTTTTCTAATATGATCTCGTGACTCTAGGAGTACTATTTACAGGTGGTTTTTAGTAACATTAAAATTTATAAATACAAAATTATTGTTACATTCACAGATAGCTCTATTTAAAAAAGTTATAATAAAATATGATTTATTCAGAACTATAACTACCGTTAACTTAATCGTATAATCAAGAATATATTCTCTAAATAACGGTTTTATTGTAGGTCAAAAATTCAGTTCAAATACCATTTTTTATGAGTATAATTTTAGTAATTTGAAAGTCCATATGAGTTACACACCAAAATAAATATAAAAAAAAAAGTTTTATTTTTAAAAATTACTCCAACCATTTCACTAGTGTAATTCTTACAAATGTAATAATTATATAAATTCACTTTGGTAAAACAATAGTATTTTAACACTTACTAAAATTTAATCATTTTCATTAACCTAAGATAATTTTTATAATTTTATTAGTTAATACAATTTACTAAATTTAATGATACGCTTTAGTATTTCTACAAGTTCAGAATCGTATGCGATTTGAATGTTTTTAGATAAAAATATTCAGACTTATAGCATGGAACATTTTAAATCCACAAACCCGTTATAATAATGTTATGCTGTTAAAAAAATGTTATTCTGTATTCATTTATTTTTTTCTTGCGTAACAATTTTTATGTCATCCTTTATTTGTTTAGCATTTTAAACTTAAAACTTCACCTAAGTATATTAATTAGTGTGCCAATATAATTTTTAAATCTATTTTAGATATGTCATTGTTAATGTTATAATATTCTAGTTTATAAAAAAAAATTTTAAACGCATCACTATTATGAAATTATATATTATTATTTATTATGCACAACATTTTTATATAAGAATTTTAATGTTTGAATGTTTGCCAAAAATCACAAATATTTTTTTTGTAATTAATGAATCACAAAACTATCAGCTTTAATATTTAATATTTTAGGTTCAAAAATTGAATTAAAATTCTTCACAAGTTAAACAAAAAAAATATGTCAGAAACTGTTAAACGTTTTAACAAAATTTGTTGAATTATCTGTATGTTTATAAGAATTTTTAGTTAACGATATTAACTATTCATTTATCTAACAAATATTAACTATAGAAACTTGAAGCATAAAATT